AAGGAGGTCGGTTGTCGCAAACGTCGTTATTGAATTTGCCGGAAAGTGCAATCGGCAATCCTCGGCTAATTCCGCAAGCTCCATACTGTCATTGTCGACTGCGGAGACATCCGAGTAGTTCCAAGTGCGGAAAATGAGCTTTCTGCGCATGTGTATTATCACCACATGGAAATATGGCCGCTTTGCCGTCAAATTCATCTCTGGCATTAATTTCAAAATACACGACAATTAAAGTCATAAAGAAAACGGAGGCCGTCGTTTTGGATTGGTTTGCCATTGATATTGGACATGGAGATATCACCCTTTTACAATTATACGAAAGGCTGGCCGCGGCCAGCGATCATCGCCCGGAAAATTTGAATTTGCAAGTTTATGGGATGATAATCTTATTTTACTAATCATTTTCTTAAACTGGAGCGGGATTGGTTTTGTAAGATAAGTTTGAATAGTAACACGGTCGATGAGGTGTCTATAGAGCCAGCACTTTCTCGAGTCGTTAATCTCTGACAATATAGCTTGTTGTTTAATATCCATTAGTTTTTGATATACTAGAGGTACAATAAATTTTTCATCATAATTACTTGGATAGTGAAAACAATCATTAAGACCTGTTTCTGTAAAAACATCATGAATCTCTTTTTTCACATATTGACATTTTCAAGGTGTGAGTTTGAGGTTCCATGTTACCTACATTGCATAATTAAGGTTGGTGGTGATTTTGCCAGGCATTGTTTTATATTGTATCAAAATTGAAGAAAATAATAGGAAGAAATGTTATATCCTATCCATGTCCTTAATGTTAGACAAACTGCAATGAACTTATATAGGCATAAAAAACGGAGGCCTCCCCTCAATTACCAGTATTACCGTATTACATGTCTGATACACTTTTGGAAGTGCTAAATGACCAACATTTTATTAGAAACATCTTCAATTACCCATCTGCAAGGTATCATAGGGCTAGAATTCTTTCTTTATCTTGTATAATGCATATTCATAATGTATTTCAACAATGTTAAATCCTGGTTTATGGACTTATGCAGTAACAATGTGCATGTTACGATCATGGCTCAATAAATCTATAATTCCTGCTAAAGATTAAAGAAAGTAAATAAAACCTTTGCCTAGCGGGAGGTGCAGCCAAATTGGATTTTTTGGCCTTTGGCCCATAGACAATGATTGCTTAATTTATTTCCCCTCCTTTGTCATATTAAAAGACAGGATAGGAGAGAGGGAAGGCATTCAGAAAATATAATAACCCAAAAATATAATTAAAAATAAACAAAATAACAAAAAAACATTGTAACGAAAACATAGTAGAGGTAGATTGTTTGGCAACTTATTTGCGTCAGCAATATCGAACTTCGATCTTCCGACTTTTGTCAAAGATTAAAAACAAACGACATTCTGGACATGAAAGTTAAGGCAAACGGGCCCCAAAGGTTTTGCGTAATGATGTAGAGATTATACATTAAATGGTATTAACAAGATTGTGTATATTAATGATAGTGACAACGCCAACAAAGCTGGTACTTTCAAGCGTTTTTTCACCTATTTATTTTTCATACAAACACACAAGACATTATATTCAATTTCTCCGTACTGATCACACATTTATTTGTTTTTTTTCTTCTATTGTCTTTTGCGTGATTAGAAGTTATGTTCCATTCTCAGGTTCCATTCTTCCGTTCACAATATCCTTACTGAGTAACTTCCACACATTTTTAACAATAAAGATTGGTCGTTTTCAAGAACAGCTCATACCTGGATCACTCAGTTGGCATATTATATGCACGTGGTATAAACTTTGAATCTTAATGTACGATTAACTCATCAAATCTGATGTGTACCTGACAAGTTATGTCCTTTGCGGACTTTCAAACAGCTGCTACTCCTGCTACGTACTAAGAAAAATATACTTATATTGAATAACTCCATATATATATATATATATATATATATATATATATATATATATATATATATATATATATTTTTTTTTTTTTTTTTTTTTTTTTTTGACCGTCTTCCGACAGAAAAAATTAGACACACGTCAATGTAAACTTTAAAATCTGACCGTCTTCCAGAAGACCCAGAAGACGGCCTAAATCCGCCCCTGATTTCAGTGACATTCTGTCCAAAGCAGCACATACCAGGTTTATTTTGTAGCGAAAAAAGGGTCGACAAGAGCGTCGTGGTATTTGGTGGACTGAAGGCCGGACAGGCCACCCGATAGTTGGCTGCTACGTGTGAGTCGAAGTAGACAAAATGGCATCGACCAAAATGACCTTTTTTAGATTTGGTAGTACTGTAGGAAGCATAGGCCTATCTTAAATTGCTTCATTTTTTTAAAAATTCTGTGAAGTGTTTACAATGCTTTTCTGAGAGTACAAATAAAGACACGCTGTTTATTTGATATTTGTTTTATTGATTGCTATACCAACAGAATGCATGAAATAACCTTAAATAGATTTGGTAATATGCAGCATATATGTTCATGACTTTTTACCTTTCTACGAAGTAGGCCCTATTCACAATGCTTTAATATTTTGAGAGCATGGATAAAGACATATTGTTAGTTTGATACGTGTTTCTGTGGTAAATTAGTTTTCCAGCTGTGTACTGAAAACATAACTTTTCTTAAGCAGTTTTTTTTTTTTTACTGTTTTTTTTTTCGCCCGCTCGCACCGATTTTGGGGTCCCCAGAGGATGTCATCCATAAAAATAAAAAAGTGTGGCCTAATNATATTTTGAGAGCATGGATAAAGACATATTGTTAGTTTGATACGTGTTTCTGTGGTAAATTAGTGTTTCCAGCTGTGTACTGAAAACATAACTTTTTTTAAGCAGTTTTTTTTTTTTTTTGGACTGTTTTTTTTTTCGCCCGCTCGCACCGATTTTGGGGTCCCCAGAGGATGTCATCCATAAAAATAAAAAAGCGTGGCCTAACCACTGGATAGTATCATATGTCAACACAATAAAAAAATGCTTAATTATAAATGAAATGGAAAAAAAGGAAAATATCTTGACATTTGTTTAGTCTCCCTCGCGTGAATTCTGATATGCCATTATGTGTGTATATTATTGAGTTTTTAGGGGCAGGGGATTTTTAACTTCGTTCGTTTTAGACCTACTTCAAGAAAAAGAAGAAGACGGATTAGCTGCACTCTCAAACTGATTAATACCCCCAACCTGTCCCCTGCATTAAATTGGATTGTCGCGTTTTAAATATATTGCGAATAGTCTGTCATTTTGCCGGAATTTGACGTCTTGTGATGCCGAAAATGGCCCACCCGTACTAAATCACGCTTGATCAGTGTTGCACCATTTTTATACTTCACATGTCACCTTAGTAAATAGATACAAAATACTATATTTTAACATTCGCCAAAGTTGATGTTTACAGAGGTTTACAACAAACATATCTGTTTTTTTTATGAATCTTCATTTATCACTGTCCGTGTTTACAGCATCTTTTCCAAGCGTAAAGCATATTTTATAACATGTACCAATATAACAGGTGTAATCTAGAGCGTATTCAGAACAGATGATCCGCGGACTAACTGAACCACCAACCTCACTAAAAAAGCGATGCCGCTAATTCTCTGATTAGATGGTCTCCCCGCCTCCACACGCGACGTCGCTGCAGGGGCCTGGCAATTAAACATCGAAGCCGAGACTGAATGCGTTTAATGACGCATGTGGAGGCGGGAGACCACCTGGGAATATTAGCGGCATCGCTTTTTAGTTGGGTCGGGAATATTTAGTCGGCAGCCCAGTTACTTCGCTCATCGCCCGTTTTGAGATGTGGCACTTATAAAACACATTATTTCTATCTTTTCTCAAAAGAACGATGTGTTCCAGATCAGTATTTTCACAACCCTTTAGGGGGATTCCATTGGGGGGGGGGGGGGGGGGGAGGAATGATCACTGTTCACGGGAAATAAAATCATCAATTCATAAACCAAAGTAAACATCACTTTATTCATATCTCACTGATAATGAGTGTCAAAATCCTGAAAATAACGAATCACTGGGTGTATAATGCATTCGTTTCGCGAAGGGCGGAGAATAAAAAGCCACATTCAAGAGACACGGGAATGGGGTGCTCCAGAAAATCGCTAAATTAAAATTAACGTTGCACGCACCTCGGGAAATAAATAGAAAGTGGTTTTCACGGGTAACGATAATACCCAATGGGGCCCTCTAGTAGGCCCATTTATCTACATACTATATTTGTTTATTCATAGTGTCCCTTTATGGGTAAAGTTATGACTTGTCGCTGTTTCTCGAAAAATGCATAAAAAACTTTCTGTTGTAAATCTGTAAACGCATCTTAGTCTTTAAGTCTATCCATTCACAAAGTTCACTTTATTTTGGCACAAAAAATTGTCCCTAACCTGCAGACATAAGAGAGAAGACAAATAAAACTGCAACACGTAGGCCTTACCGTTAAACTCGCCTTTTTATCTCGACATAGTTAAAAGGGTATACTAATTATTATCTCGAGCTTGTTTCTTTATTTTCGTATTATAATTCAGTTAACGTACAACAAAATAAGAAACTACAATTAACGGCCCTTGTCTGTATCGTTTCAGATAAAAAGTAACTTGCTGCTGGGAGCGTACTTGGTATGTGTCCTGATCGTCCTGGGAGAAGCACAGAACAACACACGTGACAGTGCAAGAGGTAAAAAAAGTCAAACTTGAGTAGCCTTCTGTGTGACAAATGACAGTAATGCTTGCCAGTTAGTGTGTCTGGTAGCTTTATCTCTTCAGTCACCTATTGACTAAAATATGCCCCGGGCTTCGGGCAAAACAAGGAAAACTGGCTGTCAACCTTTTAAGTATTCTGAACTAAAAAAAAAAGGATTTGAGACATTTACGATAAATATATTATAGGCTATTGTTAAAACTGGGTGTGAACTATAATTATTCATAAACAACCGAAGCAGGTAGGTAAATTAAATTAAAAAATATCAACTTAAACAAATTGCTGTTGTTTAATCACGCGATGATGTCCGCTGGTTAAAGGGGCCTACAGGTGAGGTAATAAAATTAGACATTTGAAATCACTCTCTTGGTTTCTTTAGACGGTTAGGCCTACTACTCTACTGAAATCTGGTGTCATCAAGCTTAATTAGCCCTTGGACCTCTTATTATGTCCATGATTAGCCCTTCAGATTTGTAGATAAGGTTAATTAGCCACTCCCGGTGACCTAGTAGGCCTACTAGTGACTGCTATCTAGTTAATCAGACTAGCACTGTTTGCCTGCAGGCCTACTTAGACAGGTGCTAATTGGATGGAATTAGCGAAAATAAGCCACTGGCACTTGATGCCTAGCCCAGTTGACGTGATTTAATTTACAGGAATGTTGATTTAAAACATAAAATCTAAAAGTATTAAAGCTGCTTCTGCAGTCTTTCTCCTTTTGGTACTACCAAGTAGGCCTTGTGTTCTGAAAATATAAATTGCTGAGAGAAGGCCCTGCATGCTGTCTTATTTCCAGTGGCTGCCTTTGCTTTATTGGTATTCATGAGAAAGGAAGCAAGCACGCAGTAAACACTTTTATTTAAAATTATTAAATTCTAATTAAGGTGCTTTTTTTCAAAACTCCCTCTAACTTGAATAGCGTGTTAATCTGGCACTGGATTCTGTCAAGGGTCTGCTAGCGGCTTCACACTGTCACGGCTAAAACGAGGTTGAAGTCTCGTTTCGGAGCGCAGCCTGTTTGGAAGAACGATCGTCTGCACATCTTGTCCGACTTATTTAAAAATACTGCCATAGTAAGTAATTTTGAGGAATTTCTCTTAAAAGAGACTTTTTTTGCACAGTTAAAGGTTAAACTGAACCCCGTAAGATGGTACATAATGCAACAGCACAGTGGAAACATTTATGCCGATCTAAGCAAGGAGTTATAACAGTGTTATAACTCCTTGATCTAAGCTGCTGTGCAGGTTCTAAATCAGTATATGTGTTCCCAACTTCTTCCTGTCACTGTACTAGCTTTAAAGGTTACTGGAAACAGACTTCTTTGTATTCTATCACCAGCAAAGATTTGTCATTACTGGGGACTCGGTTACCTGAGAGACATGAAACTCACGGTGGCTGCTTTCACCGTTTCACATTATCGTCGTTTTAACTTTGATATGGCTGTTGGGCAGTCCCCCCCCCCCCCCCTTTCCTGAAAGGATTCCATGAAAGGGTTTTGAAAAAACTGCCCCTTTTGTCAGGAAAAGGGGTAATAGTCGGTTTGGAAAAGGTCCATTTTGGGTAAAATTTTTATCTAGGTACACATAAGTTTCATTGTAAAAGGTCCACTTTTTCAGAAAAAGAACCCCCCTTTTGAATTTGCTGGCTACGGGCCTGATAACGAGGACTGGTCCTATAACAATGCTTTAACAGACGAAGATTATAGTCTCAACTTAAAGATTAAGTTTTGTTAAAATGAGACCAGAACATAGGTCTAAGACAAACGATACAGAGGAGAAAGGGAGAGGGGGCATTCCTGTTATGTGCACCCTACCTGTATTAAAGTGTCTAAGATGTACCAGATGAATTGGGTAGAATGTCGAATCTCTTGAAATTATAAAGTTTTCTACCTTTGGATGTGAAAAACTGAATTTTAAAAATAGTTAGATAATGCCTTTAATTATTAAAAAGGTGTTGGTAAATAAGGGTTGCGTTTTCTCACAGCATTGGAATTTTCTTGACCCATCACTTATTAACTTATTTTGCTTCAAATTAAGGCTTTTCTTTAATTCAAGTACAGTACATTCTTCCGTTTCTTCCTATAATTTGAAGACCCATTTATTGCCAGAAGGTACATATGTTACATTTTGATCAAACCACCCATTTGGTCACAAAAAGTCTTTGTTGATTTTCAGAGTTTAAGGTTTGCATTTACAGTTTTTTAGCAACTTAAAGAGCTATACAGCAATATAATGTAGAACAGTAGCTTTCTGCTTAATCTTTCAGCTTAAGTGTGGTCACTATAGTATAGTTTAGTGATTTTTTTTGTTTTAAATGTATATAACCTGCAGTCTAAAGTCAAACTCCTGGGGCTTGCTTCGGAAAATGTCTTTTGGCTTTCAGGCCTGTAGCTAGGAATTGTTAAGGGGGGGGAGGGGGTCTTTTTCTGAAAATGTGGACTTTTTGTCATGAAACCTTAGTTTACCTGGATCAAATTTACCCAGAGTGGACCTTTTTCCAGCAAAAAGGGGGATTCTTTTGAACCCCCCGACTCCCCCCTGACTACAGGCCTGGCTTTACTGCCCTTATTGTGTCTATTAGAATTACTGATGTGTTTCCAAATTCTAAACACAATGTTTTTATTTTGTTTTTTCTGCAGTATGTCAGCTTAAAGTTGAGCCATGCAATCCTGGAATAGACCAAGACAGATGTGGCATACAGAATGACTACACTGATCAATTTGATTGGTACCAACAAGGTAAATATTCGGTTTTGAGGGTCTAAGCTAGTAGATAAAGATTTTTTTAGAAGCTGAGCAAGGAAAATACTGCAAGCTTTTTAGGAGCTCACTCAGAAATGCTCCAGTCAGAAATGACAAAGTTACTATGGGCGCATTGTAATTTAAGTGTGCTCAAGCCTTATATGTCTTATTTCGGCCTCAATGTCAGAGGTCTCTGGAATGGAGAAATTGCAGAGCAATGCTCATAATATAGTACAGGTGTGTGTGTGTGTGTGTGTGTGTTTCCTGTGACATAAGTCGTACTTGAATCAATACATGTATACAATTTTGTTCAATTCAGATGGTATGTTTAGAGTTAACTGCAGTGGTGCATCAGTTGGAGACCAAGCTGCATTCAAGACTGGGAATGAAGACTTTCTTGTGGGCCCAATGGGAGGGTGTGCTTACATTTTTTATGTCAATGGTGGAGCACCCGATGAACTCACTGTTGAACCAGCATTGGCTAATGGCACCATGGTTTGTGTATATTTGTTTTTAGTTTTATGGTATTGTGATATTACAATAAACTGAATGTACTTTTTATTATAGTACTTTTGTGGACATGTTTACATTTTGCCAGGATTCTGGAACTGTAGGGGTAGGGGTTTGTAAATTTTAATGTTGTTAACTTGGTGGTAAAGAAAAATCCTATATATATATATATATATATATATATATATATCATACTCCATGCTGTTAATTGTCACATTATTTTTTATCATCTAGTTCATTATTAGTACCACCAGCGTGTACGCTGGCGGTACTCATGGTTTTAGTCCCGACCCGTCTCGTACAGCTCCGCCGGCTCCTGCGGCTCCGCCGGCTCCTGCAGCTCCGCCGGCTCCGCAGTCGGGCGCCGGAAACAAGTCACCGTTACCGCTTCTCCTACTAGACCGCAAGGACCTGTGTCCCCATCTCTTGGATTTAGGTCACATATAATCTCAACTTGAACACCCTGGTTTTTTTGTCTCCGTCGCTGCACTGGCCTGGGCGTGACGCTTGTTGAAATGCACCCATGTCAAAATTTTTGAAAATTCAATGCTAAATATCTCCCAAACCAAAGGAATTATGGGAAAAATTACTACAGAAGTCTGACCGAAAGTCATATGTGGAGATTCNGCAATCTTACTGTGACCTTTGACCTACTATTTATGATGAACTGCACTTTGCATGTTTCCTGGCCTTCATATCTCCAAAATTGGCAAAGAAATGCCCATAGCTACTATTGAACTTCTATAGGAAGTCATATACTGTGACCTTGAAATTGACCTTTGACCTACTTTTTCACCACAAACTGAACTCTGCATATTTTCTTGCCCCTCATATCTTCAAAACTAGCAGAGATCTGCCTACTGTTGTCCCAAGGTTTTCTCTTTTGTCAGCAAATATGCAATACTGATAACGCATTTCAAGGAAAACCAATAGGCCTATTGTCTAGAAAATCACAGGAGTCATCAGTGTTAGGAAAATACAGCTCAATTTGAACATCTGCTTGATGTGAACAGTTATGTTTGTTCGAGATATATATATATATATATATATTCTTTTTTTTTTTTTTTTGCATATTTTGAGAACTCTTGTTTATTGCATTTTATAGAGCTTGTCGAGCACAAGACTGGTGGTGGTGTTCATTTTTTGGGGGTGGGGTTTCCATGAGAATGCGCTTACTCCAGCTGGTGGTACAATATCCAGAGGCGGTATCGCCTCTCTGATCCTCTAGTTTCTTGTGTTATTGTTTGATTTCAGGATTACACTCTTATAACTTTTGTATAATTTCATTGTTTTAAATATTTTTTTTAATAAGTGAAAAAAAAATATTTTTCAATGGCATATTGTAGTATGGTGGTCTTGCACCAACAGTGAATGACTCTCAGCATCATGTGGCCTCAATCTCCTTGTTTCCTGGCCGATATAGCTCTGTGAATTTCACCTACACTTGTGCCAGCCAGAATTCTATTTTTGACATCTTTGGGATCGGACTTGCCAATGGAAGCTATTGTGATACGAGTATGTACATGTATATCTTTATGAGAAACACATTGGGTATAGAATCTGTTTTGATACTTAGAAGTGCTTATACCTAGTATCCATAGTGTGGTATTTTGAAATTGCTCTTTGGAGTATTAAGGTTAATTTGACTCATCACTCACCAAAAAATATACACTTTTCTTTCTGATAGCATCAATTTATGCTTGCCTTTCTTAAAACCCAACTTACTGGATGACAAATGACATGTGTTTAGAGAAACTGAAGTTCAGGTTATGTCTTTTTTGCTGTACCATACCATAGCATTTGGGTCTTGCTTGTTCATGTGTCATGGTTTGTAATATTGCTGCATTTGTGTAAAGGAAGTTTACCAGCACTAGTGCTTGTTTGAAACTACAATTTTTTTCTGGTGCCATAGGATATTATTTTAACTCGGAGTTAAAATAAAAGTAAGTCATTTTAAAGAAATCTTGAACGAAAGTTAAAGCAGTTGTTCCAAACTCCTTTGGGGTTTGCAAGTCACTTTGGTGATGAATAGTGAAGTTTTGGGTATTTGTAGAAGCTGTTGGTTGGTGAGTAGTTGGGTGGGCTGTGTGGATGGTTAAAACCATCTCCAGTTCCAGGAATTTTAAGTTTGCACCGGCCATTTGACTACTTTCAGATGTGTCTGCATACTTGAACGTTGTCATGGAGAGACATCAGCACTGGGCTCAGGAAGCAGACTGTTCAGGTAACTTTTATTAGCATAAATTCAGAATTAGCTGTGTTAAGGTTATGTCTGCTTTAGGCCAGATTGAAGCTGCAGTTTTCCCAGCACAGATTTAATTGTGCTTCAACCCCTAAAAGAGGGTGCGAATTCGAACCAATCTTCTTAGAAGGAACTATAACCTGATGGCCAATTAAGGCAAAAGTTTAAATGATAATATAGGATTAAAAATGGAAAATTGAAATGAAGAATAGGATGAAGTAGAAATCGGGAATCATGTTTATAATATATGCTTGTATTAAAATTTGTGCTTTATATTGTTGCAGGTTATTCTGGTTCTGGTTACTCTGGATATAGTGGTAATAAAATTTTCCAATGCTTGTTTCATTTGTTAGCTAGAAGTAAGAAAGAACAAAAAGTGAAGGTGATAAAACTTGGGAGTCAAAATCATATATATATATATTACAATGTATCATGATATGTATTCCATGTTAATTCTGGCTATGATTGCTCTGAATATTTGATACAGTTTTTGTAATGGCAAAGCATTTTTTTGTAAATAAAAAAAGAGGTGAATAAGATGTAAATAAAGATGATGCCAGAAAGTAAAAGAAAATACTGTCAATATTCTGGTATTGAGTAGTATTTTCTTCAAGAAAGATGTATTTATATATTTATTTGTTTGTTTGTCTGCACAAGGAAAATGAATAATGATTTAAGAGAAGAAAATATTACACACCAAAACTCACTTTAAAGGCAGAAGTGCTAGTATTTTAATGATTTTTATGCCATTTCAGGATTTTCTGGCTCTGGATACTATGGATATTCCGGTAATTTTTTTAATTAAATGTTATTTAAATTTAAATTAAAAAATAATGTGTAGAAAAAGTCAGAAATACCATGAAGTAAAACAGAGTAAAATATCGCGAAATAAAAAAAAATATGTTTTTCTTCTCATACTCTGGTAATAAATATTATAATATATTCTTTCAAAAATTTGTTTGATCATTTACACAGCATTAAAGGAAGATTGTCAATGATTAAAAAAATGTAAAGAAAAGGAAAACATTGAAATCAATATTCTCCGTAATGTATATGTGTTTTTAATGCTATTTCAGGATCTGGCTCTGGATACTATGGATATTCTGGTAATGTTTATTATAATTCAAATTCTATTTAGATTTAAGAAAAAAGAAAAAAGAATGGGTTAATATGATGTAAAAGCAAAATTAATTTTATATTAATAAGAATTAGAAAATCAAAAAATGAAAAATATGTATATTCATTGTATAAATTCTGTTATTATCATATTTATTGTGTTAATTTAAGTTTTTTCTTGTGTTGAATATTGAGGATATTTTGCATACTATGGATATTCTGGTAAAAATTGCTTCTAATTCAAAGTTCTTGGTTTGCACTATAGGAAAGGAAAATGAAAAGGGATTTTAACAGTAAAAAGTTAAAATTTAAAAAAAATTGAATCAAAACTCAATTAAAATGATATGTTCAATGCCATTTCAGGATCCTCTGGCTCTGGACATTCTGGTAATGTATTTCCTGTGAATTTTTTTTATATAAAGAAAATTAGGGAGAAACTTGAATTAATCTGACATATTCTTTCAAAATCAATCTGATAATACTATAATACAAGCTGATAAATGCTTCATGCACTATTCTTACTATACCTACCGAAAATGAAATAAATGTCTTGTGCAACTTTTTAATAGAGAACCTTTGTAGTTTTTATTTTGACTGGAAATTTTGAAGGAAGCCCTACAAGTGTACATGATCTAATCTTAAATATAAAAAGCAATATTCCAAGATGTGTCAGGTTTTTAAGATTTGTTGACACTAGTAAGCAAACCAATGAATAATCATTCAGTTAATTGTGACTGATTTTGACTTATATTGGTTCACATATTCCTATATATTTACATTGTCATGCTTAATACTTATTTGTATAATTTGATACAGGATATGCACCTGGCTTATGCAACTTTGGACCAGAGGATGGGATGTGTGACATAGTTCAGGCTCTTGATGATGATGGCAACTGGACTTTGAACACTAATGGTCAGTGTCGACATGGGAGACATTGATGTTGATAAACGCCAAGTCTGAGATAACTTTCTTAACTTTCTTTTGTCGTTTGTAGCAGTTTTAATTCTGTTTTAATGCCTTGTCTAATATAACTTATCTTTTTCCACTTGTAGTCTGAATTAATTCTAAGTCATTTATCCCCCTGGGGAGGAGGGTACGAAGTCAGAGGTTTCTCTTCAACATTGTAACATTTCTACATCGGGGTGAATTGGGCGTGGGAACACAGTTGGGCAGACTGGGGGTCAGCTTTTTTACCAGTGACTGTGACATCTTCACTTTCTTACCTCACATCAGTGAGTTAATTGTTGGACCTGCTGGGGGGGCTTTCATGTAGGGTTGAAACATGTTTAGTTTATAAAAATCTACTTTTTCACCAATGTTGCTCTACTCAGTAACTGGGCTTAGGTTTTTGTCTTAGACTATGGATCAATACAAAATTCTTTATAAAAACAAAGATTGAAAGGTGTTAAAATTCAGGCCTACCCAACTACCAGACTCGGCACCTAAGGATCCTGAATTAACCGGTATATCGGACCACGCTACCCGTTTTCAAGGTGTGTGTCAGATCGCATTTCGGAGTATCATACCCCAGAAAAAAATTTGTGGCACGACTGCGGGTTCATCCACGCTCGGCTGAACAACCTTAAACTGTACTCTTACTTTAGAGTACTCCATTTTATTGTCTCTATGGGGATATATGGGGACTTTACGGCATTCGGTTTGAATGTTTTAACCACTTTTGATAGGGCTTTTTTGCATTGTATTAGATTAATGTGGCAGTCTAAGGTGCATCTAGGTGGCTTTCAAATTTATGCACCTGGTTTTAAAATCATATAGCGATTTTACGACAATCGTTTACTATCCAATCAAGGTGACAGCCGAGCATGCCAGGGCTCATCCTGTCGGTGTTCTGGCTGATACTCCGAAATGCGATCTGACACACACCTTGAAAACGGGTAGTGTGGTCCGATATACCGGTTAATTCAGGATCCTTAGGTGCCGAGTCTGGTAGTTGGTTAGGCCTGAAATTTGGGCTGTCCATTTTATCTTTATTTGACAGGTTTTGCGCCTTTTCATAATTTATTGGATGGCATGTTCAGACTGGGGGTTGTATGATTTGCATGTGTCGTTGCTTAATTGCCAAAGCTAAAAATGCCCTTTTGTTTATAATAAATTTAAGTATTTATTACATATTTATGAAGTATTTGTGACCTGTTTCAAGTTAAGATGTTCACTGATGACATACAGAATTCATTTAAATCTGTTCTTATTGTTTTTCAGCTCGTCACCTACAACTCAATTGTTCACTGCAACCAGGCGACAGCAGACTTACAAGAACAGTTCAGCTTAACTACACCACCTGTGCTAGTGTTGGCATGGACATGAGGTACACTTCCCCGGATACATACTTCCTGTTCCTTGTCAGTGGGACAACAGGGAATGGAAGTTTGGATGAGGTGATAGGAAATGTGTCTGGTGGCAGAGAGTATCATTATGAGGTGCTGTCAAATACTGTGCCTCCTGGAAACTACATATTTGAGATAGTTGGACATTGTGGACAGGCTGGTGAGATGGTGGTCCATTATGGGGGAGGCTATGATGGAGAGTGCTATGGTAGGTACTAGTATATTTTAAGGTAGTGTCCTAATTAGGCCAACAGTTATCACAAAGGTAGTCAACAAGTGTTGGGCATAGCAATTTTAGCCAACCTGTTTACTTCAACTTTGGTGTATTGCCAGATCGCCAGCGCTACTGCAGTAGCTGCTGACGCAGTGTGCCACATTAATGTGCGAGTGTTGTGTAGTGTAGCAACAACAGCAAAAGGTTACTTGATGAATTTTTAAACATTAACTGCTATGCCTGTCCATTACTCACTGGATTCTCTGTGTGAAATGGGTACTTGACTGTGAAAAAAACAAAAAAAGTCAGTGGGTTTTTAAAAGTGAACCTGTTCAAAGGTTTCACTTAATGCCCCTACAGTATTTCACACAGACCACGAATCCCACGAATCACCAGGAATTGACAAATTTCAGGATTCGTGGTTGAATCGTAATCAGTGTGTGAAGTTCTTAACAGATTCATATATGTTCGTAGTCAGTTCTTGCAATTCTTGTTCAATCACGAACTGATAATGCCCCTATTTCACACAGACCACGAATCCCACGAATCGCCAGGAATTGACAAATTTCAGGATTCGTGGTTGAATCGTAATCAGTTCGTGAAGTTCTTAACAGATTCGTATATAATTGTAGTCAGTTCTTTCAATTCTTAATCAATCGAGAATTTGTGGCAAAAGTTTTGAGCTGTTCAAAATTTTGGCCATGAGCTCCCGATTCCAAAAAATCGTAGTGAATTTTTGACAATCTTTGTGCGATTCCAGCCGAATCCCACGAAAATTCGTAACACTATCGCACCTGTATCATAACTGAATCATAGAGCGTGTCTAATAAGGCCAGAAAATTTGCAAAATCTCACGAATCCTCACGAATCCTGAAAATTGTCAATTCCTGGCGATTTGTGGGATTTGTGGTCTGTGTGAAATAGGGGCCTAACAGGGTTGAATACATTATAAAGAACCATATTTGTCAAAATGGATTTAATTAAAGCAAGTCTTTCAAGAAAATTCCCTGGTACCAGATTGTACTACTCGTAGCTGCAATTAAAAAGGCATTAAATTTCATTGATAGTTGTTCACATGAAGGATATCTGCTTCAAGGTGATAATACATTTCCCCTGAAACACTGCTGTTACAGCATCAGCTCAGTTCTGTAAATTCACCACAAAAGATTTTTGATGTAACGGCAATTTTATTTCTGCATTATGTAAGCACATTAGGAAAATATTCTAAGGTATCTTACCCCTTTAAATGGCAACATCCTCTGAATGATTAAAACTTTGACTGTTATCTTGTTTTGTTCATCTCCTCAGATTATAATCAGCAGCAACCTAGCTATTGCAGCTTTGGACCAGAGGAGGGAATGTGTAACATAACACAAGATATAAATGATGATGGTAACTGGACACTTAATACTACAGGTGAGAAATTGATTAATGTGCTAGTATCTTGTCTGTCAGATGGCCAGTAGAATAATCAATGTCTTATATATAATTAATTGTAAGTCTCAGACTAAATGTGCAATTTGTCTAAAGATGCTTCACTTGTTTACCATACTTTTCAAATGTATTGTTAGAAATGAATGTCCCAGTACTTGCCTACTCAATTTTATTTCTAGATTCTACTAGAAAAGTTTATTAAGAAAACGAAATAGTGTCTTTAATGAAGAATATATTTAAGGTAGAAGTTATAATTAAGTAGCTGTAACCTTTTAGCATTTTAATAAAACAATATCCATATTAATTCAAATTTCAGCTCGTCAGCTTCAACTGAACTGCTCATCTCAACAAGGCGAAAGCAGACTTATAAGAACAATGCAGTTTTACCTCACCACCTGTGTCAACATTGGTATGGATATAAGTCTTGCTTCCCCTGATACATACTTTCTGTTCCTGGTTATTGGGACAGCAGGGAATGAAAGTATTCATGAGGTGATAGCCAATGTGTCTGGTGGTGGAGATTATCGTTATGAGTGGCTGAGCGATACTGTGCCTCCTGGAAATTATACATTTGAGATCATTGGACATTGTGGACAGAGTGGTCACATGGCAATCCACCAATCTGGTGGCTATGATGGACAATGTTATGGTAAGTAATTGAATATTTTAAGAAACAAAAAATTCCAACTATTATCTTTTGAACAAATTAAATGCCATATTTTTGTCATTATAGGATTCTCAGTATGATATCAAAATGTGAAAGTACATCTTTAGGTGGTGATGTTCAGTAGAAGGGAGTTAAGGTTGTCTTTAGGCCGTTTATAAGGTGTTTGTATCCTAAGAATGATTTAAAGTTTGGTTGTCTTTGTTCATTTCTTTAGATTATAATCAGCAGCAACCTAGCTATTGCAGCTTTGGACCAGAGGAGGGAATGTGTAACATAACACAAGATATAAATGATGACGGAAACTGGACACTTAATACTACAGGTGAGAATTTGATTAACCTGCTAGTGTCTTGCCTGTCAAGTGGTCAGTAAGATTAGCAGACTGGTGTCTTATTATATAAGACTAAATGTGCAGTCAGTCAAAAGATGTTCACATATTTTAATTTAAATAACCATTAATTTTCAAATTTCTATTGCAGTTGAGTGTAGCAGTACTTGCAGTTTTTCTTGCTCTATCTTATTTTAAAATTTCACTAGAAAAGTTGATTAAGGAAAATTCATGCAGGGTCTTTAATGAACAGGAGAATTAACAGTCAGGTTTTGTTTTTTAAAATACAACATAATATTGAAGGTGTTTATAATAAGCACAGATGTTAGTCTGAAATATAAAACTAGCAGATGTGGAATTCATTGAAAGATTTCAACAACTTTTATTCTTCAAAGATTATTTTTGAATTTTCATAATTGCCTTTATATCACAAAAACATAATTAAAATAATGAAAGTCCTTGCAGGAAAATCTTAAATATTCATAATGAAAATGCAATAATTATAATATGCTTTGGTAAGAAGAGTATTGCAAATGAGGACAAACTGTCTTCTGAATCAAAGGATATAATCAAAGGATAATTAAATACCTAAATTTTCATTATGACAGTGTTGAGACTTATTCCTAAGAATTTTGATTAAATAATAACTTTCATTCAAATTTCAGCTCGTCAGCTTCAACTGAACTGCTCATCTCAACCAGGCGACAGCAGACTTATAAGAACAATGCAGTTTAACCTCACCACCTGTGCCAACATTGGTATGGACATGATGCTTGCTTCCCCTGATACATACTTCCTGTTCCTAGTTAGTGGGACAGCAGGGAATGAAAGTATTCATGAGGTGATAGCCAATGTGTCTGGTGGTGGAGGTTATCGTTATGAGTGGCTGAGCGATACTGTGCCTCCTGGAAATTATACATTTGAGATCATTGGACATTGTGGACAGAGTGGTCACATGGCAATCCACCAATCTGGTGGCTATGATGGGTACTGTCATGGTATGTATCAAAAAATGCATTCTAGACTTGTCGGTATGAATAACATATTTTGAAAATGGGAACTAAATCAATTTTTTCTACTAAGCCTGTTTGTACTTTTGTATGTGCCGATTCTGAAATGCTTCTATCAGTTAACTTTAAAATGCAGTTAATGGTCATTCAGTTAACTTCAAAATGAATGTTAACATTTGATTAGTACACAAAATGATATGACTTGTACAATTAATAGTTTTGAACCAAAGCCTTCTATAATTAACAGATGGTGCCACTGGAGATAGTGGATATAGTGGTGACAGTGGATATAGGGGTTATACTGGTGATGGTGGTTACCTGTGCCATTTTGGACCATATGACAGGATGTGTGACATAGTTCAGGATAATGCTGATAATGGAAACTGGACTCTGAATGTTAATGGTCAGTTAAAACTGCTGAGGTGTTTAATAATTAAGATTGGGAAAGCTGACCAAAAACACTACTGTTGTTGGCCCCCTTAGTGGGGGGGGGGGGGACCTTTATTACCATTAGATTTCAAGACATTATTTAACAGTTTTAGAATTTATGGATGATGATCATCATACAACCTTTGAATACACGGATTCTGCTGATAATTCTTTTTTTTTTTACTTTATGATTGTAGAGGGTGATTGCACATTTAGTGTTTGGAATGTTTTTCCACTGTAATAACAATAAAACATTTAGATCAGTGAATTGCCTTTTAAATGGCAGTAAAATTGACTGGTTCAAGAAATGTTACCATTATTAGTTAAGATTTTTTCATCACTTATTGACAAATAATTAAAAATAATTTTGCAAAATTTTTTTCTAATGAGATTAGTTTGCAACAGAAGTTAATATAAATTATTCAAAATTGGAATTTTCTGTTGCATTCAGAGAACAGATTACAGCTGAACTGTTCACAAGAGTCCGGCAGCAGCAGACTTTTTAGAGAAATACAGTTCCAACACACCACATGTGCCTTTGTTGAAATGGAAATGATAGGCACCTCAGCTGGCTCATACTTCCTGTTCTCTGCACAAGGGACAACAGCCAATAACAGCTTTGATGAGGTGATATCCAATGTGTCTGGTAGCGAAGGGTATTACTATGGCCGGGAATCGTACCCTGTGCCTCCAGGAAATTATACATTTTATATAGAAGGCTACTGTGGGGGGAGTGGAGGGATGGTGATAAGGCAAGTGGGAGGATACGATGGTGATTGCAATCGTGGTGAGTATTCCTAGAAAAAATAGAAATCTGAACATGCGAAATGATCTTACTAATAATTTTTGCATGCCCAGTGGATAGATATGAATATTTAACTTATGCCCCAGCATGTACAGTTTGACAAGTATTATACCATAGTACAACCAAATGACACTAGACTACAAGTACAATAACACAAGACATATTATTATTATATATATAGATATTATAAGCACATATCTAAGAAGATAAGTAAGTGCTGTACTGTATCTAACTGCTGGCAAATTTATACTTTTACATCTTCTCATTAACCAAAGAAAAAGTGTAAGTTAAAGACAAATACCAATATGGTGTTTGAAACTTGGCCTTAATGGCCCCTTTGATTGAAAGGTCCCTCTGGTAAAAGAATAGTGTAAAGTTATTATTATATAGTATTAGATGATGTTGAGTTATTACAATTACATAATGTTATAACATAGATAATAAATATCCAAGCTTCCCTGTGTTGCCATGATCTATTGCATTCATTTCATGTCAATGTAATAGGTGGAAATCAGCAGAACTGGCCCATGGTCTGGTGTTATCCTGGAGTCTCCATCAACACTTGTGAGGCAGGACATTGGATCTCTGATGATGGAAATTACCCTGACTATGAAAATAACACTCACTATGGCAATAACACTTACTATGGTAATGAAACTTACTTCGGAAACTATACTTACAATGGTAATGATACTAACTTTGGAAATTACACTTACTATGGTAATGATACTGACTTTGGGAATTACACTTACAATGGTAATGATACTAACTTTGGGAATTACACGTACTATGGTAATGACACTAACTTTGGAAATTACACTTTGTTTGGAAATGATACTAATTTTGGCAACAGCACCTTTTATGGGAATTACACGGATGATGGAAATACTAACTATGGCAACAACACCTTTTATGGGAATTACACGGATGATGGAAATACTAACTATGGCAACAGCACCTTTTATGGGAATTACACGGATGATGGAAATACTAACTATGGCAACAACACCAGCTATGGCAATGCTGCTAACACCACAAGAACCTGTAAGTATATAATTAACTTATGTTTAAGCTGAACCTCCATCCCAAATTAAATGTATTTTAGGTAGAGAAAATTGTTACAGCAGGGTAGAACTAAGATCAACAAATGGGAGGAGGGGCTGGTAATACTGTAGCACTAGAGAGGCTATAGGTATCACCAGCCTGCTGGGGGTTGTTCTTCTTAATTGCTATGTTCTTGAGATTAGTTAGTGAATCATTAAATTATTTTGTTTATCTATTTATTATACATTTTTGTATGAAACTTATCTTTTACTTTTAGACACCAGTACAACGATGAGCCCTCAATTTCTGCGTTGGCTTCAGTATCATCATGTCTTTGCCTGTAATATCACAAAAAATGAAATGTGTGGTTTCAATCAGAATTATACAGCAGACTTCAACTGGACCCTTAGTAAGTATTTTTATGACATTAACAGACAGTGGTATAAGGTATAATGTGCATGTATTAATACTAGAACCCTATCTTGAAACTGTAGCTATACATACAATGTACATGTACATGCCTGGAAGTTACATATATTGGTATAAAACAAGATTAAAATCTTACTGTGCATATGTTAATGAAGGTGTAGGCTTCAATATTTAGCCAAACATAGTGAAAGTACTAGTGGAAAGAATAGTAGACTTTTTGAAAATATGACTTATTTCTACTTTTCATTCATCCAAAAGCAAAAAAAAAAGATGCTATAACTTCACTTTCTACTTTGACTTTCATAGATATACATGTGTATTATAGTATGTATATGTCAACCATCAGAAGGCAGGCGTGCGCGCGCACACACACACACACACACACACACACACACACACACACACATGCTTGCTCAAAGTTTATATATATATATATATTACAATGAATTCCTTCTATTTCATGCCTGTTTCTATATTTCAGCCCACCATGGACTGATGTTGAACTGCTCTGTTTCTATATTTCAGCCCACCATGGACTGATGTTGAACTGCTCCCAGCGGCAGATTGATGACGAGGCAATTGTTTCCATGAGAGACTTCATGAATGTGACACAGGAAACTTGTGCCTCCGTTGTGTACCAAAAGCGCGATGTTAACACTGTCCTTCAGAGCTGGGTGATCTATGAGCAAGGAGAACCACAGCTTCTAGCTCACCTCCCAGAGCTACAGTTTGGCTACGAGGTGATTGCTGCTGGAATAACAGTGCCTCCTGGCATGTACAGATTTGGCTTTCTTGGAGGATGTACTTCTGGAGGGAGAGTGCAGGCGAATCTCACAAGGATTGCTTTTCTTCCTGGGACTTGTCAAGGTGATTGTTTTTTCCCCCCATTATGAAAATTTCTTTTAGGACATCCTACGGGACTCCTGTAGGACTCTGGGACTCTGTAAGAATTCTAATGCCCTAACAGATTCCTATCTAGGACATACTGTATTAGGGCTTGTAAATGTTTTGTTGTGCATGAAGATATACTGGTGCTGCTTAAACTCTGATGAAACATTTTGCATCAGAAAAATTTTCATTTGGAAATAATTTTGGTGTGAAAAATTTGATAAATGATAAATTAAAAGTATAATGGCAGCAATCAACCCTTTTGCCCAATTTGCTCTAGGTCTGGATTTTAAGCAAAAAGAGAAAATATACAACTGACCATATAAACCAAGCCAAAACCCTCAACTAGCTTATATTTTTCATGTTTTAGAAGGTAACATTTGTAATTCACGGAAATCAAGAGTTTGATCAACCAGAAGCAAGGGTACTTAATTTAATACCAGTGAACAAAATGAATTTTTTATACAATTTATTAATTTTGGTTGTATATTTATGTTTGATGCCCAAAAGCATTGAAATGATATCTGTGAAAGATTACTTGTTAAAAATGCTGACATTTTGAAGAAATATGATGCTTTAGAAGGTTAATGATAATTAAGAATTTATAATGTAAACAACTGTGCCATGCATTCTCTTAGCAAAAGCAGGTGCATACATGTCTAAACGATTCTTCGCATCTTATTTTCTTCATATTAATCATGGCTTCAGCTTGATATGTTTTTGAATCTGGTATTTTTTTATTAATGCTTTTAGATCAGTTATGAATATTAAAGTAAATTCTGCCTCTCAAAATCTCTCATGAAATATATCTGTGTGGTTTTGTTGTAGAATGGGTTAATGATCTTGCACCCATCGTTCCAAGTGATGTTTTGGTTCTACCTCCACCTGAACCATTTGAACCCATTGTTGGTAAGTTGATGATATTAGAGAGCTTTCACAAACTGCCAATCATGAAATGTGTACTATATGCCATCACATAACACTCATCATAACCTCATTTTGGGTACTTATACTGTTTGTTGTTCCATGTTACAAAGATTTCTTCAATTCATGCATTGAGTCAATAATTTATTTTCTTGCAACCCCAAATAAAGCTGGTATTTAGTACAGATGGGCCTATTTACTCACTGAGCACAGCTGCCTTCATGGAGCATATACTAGTAAAATACTCCTTGCCACTCTTTGTTTTTTTGTTCTGAATTTTATATGTTAATTCTGTTTGAACATTCACTTTCATTACTTTTAAAAAGTTTTATACGTCCACCTGATTTTAAAATTTTAGATGAAGATGATTGTGCGAGTAGCCCATGTCAAAATGGAGGCACCTGTAATGATTTGTGGCTGGATTTTTACTGCAACTGTACAGATGAATTCTACGGAAAATTTTGCAACATGACTTATGAAGGTATATTATGCAGATTTGTCTTGCTCTCACTACTCAATGTGTTTATGCCATTCAGTTATCTGTGTCAGGATATGAATATTCAGGATATATTGCTATTCAGAGAGAGAGAGAGAGAGAGAGAGAGAGAGAGAGAGAGAGAGAGAGAGATGTACACAATTTAAAGAGAGTTATGAATGTAACCAATTTTTCCTTAAAGTGGTAAGAAATTAATTCAAGGAATAACCATAACATATAACATATCAAACAAAATAATTAAAAAGCATAAAATCATTGCAAAAGATGAAAATTCTTTGATTATTCTAAGGTGAAAATGAATGTGAAAGCAACCCCTGCCAGAACCAGGCCTCTTGTGTTGACCTGAACCTTGGCTATAGCTGTGAATGCCAACCTGGCTATGTTGGGCATGACTGTGAGACAAGTAAGTACCATTGGACAGGGGTCCGTAAGTAACATTTCTACTGAGTCTGATGTATGTATATATATATATATATATATATATATATATATATATATATATATATACACACACACACACACACACACACACACACACACACACACAGGCCTTGCCTTGTTTGGCCTTAACATATAAGGTAGGCATCATTAGTATTTTGCTTGTGCCAAAATGGACTACTAATGGATATTATGATATTGGAAAATGTATACAGCAGAAGATTTTTCAGTGCTTTTTTAATGTTAAAAGAAAGAAAAATTCCCATGCATTAATTTTGTACTCAGCTTTAAGGTGTCCTGAATAAGATTTATGTGAAAAAAAATTTGCTAACACTTTGAGGACTGACTTAATTCCTGGTTACGTGCAATTTAAAACTGTGTTAAGATGACTGACAATTGGAAAGGAACATGGATTGATGATAACTTAGATTATTTTTGGCAAAATTAATTTATTCATGTTATTTATTATAAAAAATATCAAAACCTGATAAGTTTAAGTTAAAGTAATTTTTGTGCTGTGCTGCACTGAATTTTAAAATGTTCAAAAACTTACACTTTGTTTCTTTAAAAGTACTTTTATAAGTTATATTTTGATGAAAGTCTTGCATTGAGATATGATATGAGATTGTTTTGTTTTTAACAACAACAAAATGAATAAATCAATTGCAGTGTATTGTTATTCGGTTTAAATCTCTTGTAATTGATCATACCACATCGTGTTCATTAAAGATGCTTACCTGTTGCATCATCCTCTCAGGAATTTGGTGTGTTTTTTTTTTCTTTTTTTTTTTTAAGATTAGTCATCTTCTTAATAGTTTTATGTACATGTAGGTCATTTCATTAAAGCTAACGGATTACATATAGTGAAACCACTATCTAATGTGGTTTGGGCATTTTTCTAGAGTGACAAGATATGTACACACTAATTTCAGACTTAGATGACTGTGGGTCCAACCCATGTGCAGCAGGCTCCACCTGCACAGACAGGGTGAATGCCTTTTACTGTGCTTGCCCTCCTGGAATGACAGGACAGGTGTGCGACTCAGGTGAGGAGGATATGAATTTGACCATGTTTTTTTAATGACCTCTGGGATCGTGCAACGCTCTCGTATATGATCTCGGTTTACCATGGTGCCATAGTAGAATTAAGTTTGCCAGCTAAAATAACTGGGTAGACGAATGAATTTGCTGTAAGTTACATTGATTTGGATGAAAAAATGTAGCTGCCAAAATAATGTTTTTAATAAATGTTTTTCATACACATAATGCAATTTTATTCATTGCTATTCATTTGAAAGTTAACATATTTCTTTGTCTTTACAGAAATAGATGAATGTGCCAGCAACCCCTGTCGTAATGGTGGCTATTGTAACGATTTATTGGCAATGTACCATTGTGAATGTGAAGAGGGGTTCACTGGGGTTAACTGCCAGACAAGTAAGTTTTAATATATAACCTAGATGGTTTTATACGTAATTTAGATCACTTAATTTTTTACTAGTATTACATTGAGGTAAAAATTGTGGTATTTTGACATTGTTTAGGCAGACGAGACTACATTGCTGGACATTAAAGTAATTCAGGAAAAGATATAGGACAAGGCACAGAGAAATTTGTTTTTATTTTGACAAACTGCTTTTAATTTTCGGAACTGCAATGCTAGTGATATTTGGATTTGTCAACTGTTCTGCATATACTCATTTTATTTATCAGACAACAGAGTACTGTGACAATATATCATGATAATATAGTACAGTATAGCATAACACATTACTACAAAGTTTTAGAAAATCAGCTTTTCTTTATAATGAAGTATAGATGACTGCTGAGAATCACAGTGCATTACAACAAAGAATTAACAATCAACTTTTCTTTATTACCATCACAGTGCATTACAACAAAGAATTAACAATCAACTTTTCTTTATTATCATCACAGTGCATTACAACAAAGAATTAACAAACAACTTTTCTTTATTACCATCACAGTGCATTACAACAAAGAATTAACAATCAACTTTTCTTTATTATCATCACAGTGCGTTACAACAAAGAATTTACAATCAACTTTTCTTTGTTATCAGATATAGATGACTGTGTGAGTGTCACCTGTCAGAACAGTGGCACCTGTGTGGACTTAGTGGGGCAGTACAGCTGTGTGTGCCCACCTAATGTAACTGGGGAGCACTGCCAGACATGTAAGGCATTTCATTCTAAACCTTAAAATAATGTTTTCTTTTAAACTGGTTAAAGTGTTGACTTTTTTTTTCATTCTTCAATTCATTTCCAGTATGGAGAACTTGACTTGGTTAAAGCCAGAATTGTTTCAAGTAGCTTGTTTCAGCTGTGGCACAGATAGTCTCTCTGTATATTTAGCTATAAAAATCAAAGGGAACTCATTTGAAAAATCATATAAATGTTAAGTACTAATTAATCATGATGGTAGCAGAGATGGATCTAAAGGGAACCCTTCTGAAAAAGAAAATTTCATTTGATATTATATCATTATGTTAGGAGAAATGATAGTTTTAAAGCAACTGAAAACTATTGATGTGCTTTCAGTGGTTCCTTTCTATGGACACTGGACTGCATGGGGTGCTTGCTCTGCAGAGTGTGGTGAGGGAGCTGAGCGAAATCGCACCCGTCCATGCACGGACCTATCTGGAGCAAGTCGTGCTGTGGCTGATTGTGAAGGATTTACAGGCACCGCAGCTATTAAATATGTGAACTGCAACCTATCCAGATGTGTTGGTATGTTGACCTCTGTCAGTATTTGAAAAAAAATTTAAAAAATTCAGTTTCAGTTGTTCATTTGTCACAAACTTAATAAAAACCTATCACTTGTGAAATATTTCGCCATGCATGCTGTCAGTCTTGGAGACAGATGAAGATGGCAGAATATTTAACATGAGAGATTAGTCTGTACTAAGTTTGTGACAAATGAAGGTTTTGATATTTATGGAAGTAGTTAACCTGAATGAAATAATATTTTATTGAAATAAGATAGTGATTGAAACTATTCAAAACCATGTACCATAACTTCCTCCATGACTTATCTTTAAAAAGAAATCATTTCATATTATAGCTCCTAATAATCCTTGCCTGCAGTCTCCATGTGGCATCCTTCATAACTGCTCCGTCATAGACAATGCTGGACACTACAGGTGCAGCTGTGCAAACGGCTATGAGCACCCCACCGACGACCAGGGACATAACATTGAGAACCAATGCGTTGGTCAGTGGAAAAACTGATATTGTTTTCTTTGGAGTCGCATGTGACGTATATTTGTACCCAGCCTGGCTGATGCCTGAAAAATTATTTGCTTTCTAAAAAAAATTTTGTAAATGCGCGGTTCAGTACTGGCATGTTGTTTAAGTAATTCATTGTTTAAGATTACACTTAAGAAAGAATAATCAGAACACTTCTCATGGATAAATTCTTAGCCTATATATATTAGCAGTAGTAGTGGTGGTAGTATTGTTTCAGAGAAGATATACAGTTTATAACACTAAATATAATTCTTGCTAGTCTGAGATTATTTCTTACCCCATTCTTCTCTAAACCACATGAAATCTCACTTGATTTTATGTAAAGTCCCAAGGCTTTGGGGCATCTCAGGTTTAATTCCCAGCATCTTTTCTCCTTTCAGACATTAATGAGTGTTTACGGTCCATCAATGATTGCACAGATCCTGGTGGCTCCCAGCTGCTTAGTGTGGCAGAGTGTGTCAACCTGGAAGGCAACTACAGCTGCCTGTGCCAAGACGGATATACCAGGAATCCCAACAACTCGCATGGATGTATAGACATAGATGAGTGTGAGCTGGGGACCCACAACTGTGACGTTGATGGCCGAGCCAAGTGCACCAACCTTCCTGGAGGATTCAGATGTCGCTGTGTTGCTCCATATAAAGGCAGTGGATTGAGGGACAGTTGCATAGGTAAGTATGGACTCATTCAGCACAAGGGACTAACAGATCCACAGATCAAATATGGCCGACCCGCTTGAATGCTTGTTGCGTAATCCCCGTAGGAAATCTATTCAGTGTCTAATCCTGAATTAAGCAACAAGCTTTTTAGTGGGTTGCCATATTTGATCTGCAAATCTGTTAGTCCACCGCTCTGAATGTGCTCTCTGTGGTCTAGGGTCTAATAACAGAGATGTTGAAGACATCAGCCCTTTACCATCTTGTACTGCTAAAAAAGGGCCAAAGATACCCCGAACAATTGTGAGAACTGTTGTTTTCAATTTACAATCAATCTGGCAAAAATTCCTTTCGAGAGGCAAATTTATCAAATCTTAATCAATTTGACTGAAGCTAATATTGAAATTATGCTGAAAGAAAAATAATGAATATAATAGACTAGTTTTAGAAAACATGGGTTATATTGATGTAAAAATAATTATATAAAAAATTTTTCTTAGTAATGTAATATTATGCTAATTTATTTTATTGTATGGGAAATGAGTGAGTTGATATGAATTTGAAAAGGTATTGATTTCTAATTTTTTTCATTTCTGTCTCTTAGCTGTATGTGATTTTTCCCATCCTGGCATGTTTACACATATACCTTTCAGAAAACAGACTTGTTGCCTTTGCTGACCACCACAAGTTGCCATTCCTTGGTGCCGATATCTCAGCAATAAGTGATTTCTTTTTCCCTAAGTATGGTATACCCACATTCGACGGACTGATTCTACCATCATTTTATGTGAGTTGCCTGTCACAAAGTTGTGTGCAGTGGCTATATTTTTTTGCATGCATGCATGCATATATGGAATTTGTAGAGTCAAAAATTTAGCTTATAATATTTTAAATGGTAAAATTGTTTTGAAAGATTGTTTTTGAATGTTAAGAAATTGAAGTTAAATGAAGAAAATTGAGTTATGTTTCTCTAACTTGAGTGAGACAGTAACTCAATTATAATGAATAATTGCAACTGTAATACATTGTTGATTTTCCTGTGCCCTGTTACCAGTTTACCCAACACGGAGTGGTAATGTTCAGTGATGTGGAAGACTGGGAGGCGTTTGCTGACCAAACCAAGCTTCAGAAGGCATATCGCAACCCCACCATTCTCCCCTTAAACCGGGTCTACTTCCCATTTGGATCCAGAGATATCGGAGGAATCGGAGCATACTGGGCCAATAATGTGATGGAGGACGAAGCAGTAAGTTTGCCTTAGAGTCCTCAACCTCCCAGTCCTCTCATGAAGTTACAAAATTTTATAAGCATATTGAATTAAAGATATCTCAGTGATGGAGAATACAAGTAGCTAAGATCTCTTTAATTCACAGATCAACATATGGGTGTGACTATATTTAAGTTAGTGAAAACAGTATTACCCTCTTTTGCTTGAACTTACTGGCATTATAGGATATTAGAATACAGGTAGAGTTGGGTTTTTGTGACGATGTAGTGTGTTAGATGAGATTATTTTATATTGCTACCGGTAGATGTCTCTGTAAGTAAAGTGTTGTCCGGTGTGCAAGTTTGAATCTCTCCCGTGATTGGTAACCTAAAGGTAAAACTGTTCACTGTATAGTTGGTTCTGATTGGTAAACGTGTACTATCTGAACTTGTATATAAGGTCCGACTTGAAATAAATCGGTCTCTTTGTTGGGACTTTTGGCTCTAGCCTCTGTGTTCTTGGCTCTTTTGGTCCTCTTTGCGGCTCTCTTTGGCTCTTAACGGCTCTTAACTCTGAGATACCAGTAAGTACATTGTTATTTGTACCTTCATAAGGCACTCGGCCGCGAAGGCGTAACAGTTTCAACAATGTTAATGTTTTTCAAAAACCGTTTTGTTTTGAAAACCGTTTGTCAATAACCGTATTTTGCAGCCTGGTAATACATGTTTCACACTGTTGAATTGATAACAGGAATTATATCACATATCCACATTGTCTTGTTTAGGATGGACGTGGGCTCTATTTCAAGGAATACAAACTGGATAATGTTGCGGATGCTAATGCAATCAAGACTGCCTCTGCTAAGGTTCAAAGTGCCCATAGCTTGACCAACTTCAATGCAGAGTACATGATCATTGTTACCTGGAATAAGATGCAGCATAAGATTAACACGTGGCAGGTAAGGATGAATTTACCGGAGTAAGATGCATGGGAAGTTCCCACTGACTGATTAAAAACTGTGAAGTTATTTAGACAATATCTTTTTTTTTTTGTCTTTTAGAGAAAAGTAGCAAAAATATGATGACAATCTTCTTAACTTTTACTATTTTTTATATTATCTATAGGATTATAAAGTTTCATTTGTTTGGGAATGGTGCTACATTGTAGGGCATATAGCTGACTTAATGTTCATGTTGTGTGCATTTCAGGAGGTGACATTCCAAATTATCATTGTGACCGATTACAAAAACACTTACTGCCGCTATGTGTATGATGACAGCGGCATGAACTGGAACCTGACTCTAAATGCAGCAAACTCTGTAAGTCTGAAATGATGCTCCATGCATTCATTGCATACAAAAGTGTAGTGAGAGCACATGTCTAGAATGATTAGTCATCATTGAATGGTTCCAAGGTGATTTATGAAATACACCCATTTGAGATGACAGTTTTTTTTTTCAAATTTTCTTCTTGTACATATAGAATATATGATTGTTTTTTTACTGTTTCTGTTTGATGGGTGGTGTATTCTGAGGTCAGATGTTTATTCTTATTGATTGCAAACATACTGATATTAACTTGCAGGTGGTTTCTCACTTCAGAATCAGTATTATAAGATCATTATGAAATAGATGATAATCATTCAGAGTGGTTCTGTAGCATCTACATTTGGTTCATAGTTTGACAGGAAATGTCTAAAAGGTTTCAATTAGTAATGGTACTAAGTAAATTAATATGCTTAATCAGTATTATTATTTGGACAATTTTCTTTTTTCAAGCCAAACTTCCCTGCTCGTGTGGGCTACCTTATACACAGCTGGTGGCCATTTGTTCGTCGTGGTGTAGAGTGGCGGTATTCATACGCCAGTGTGGCAAACAAGAGACATATAGAGCGGATAGACCAGGAGGTCGGAACCAGTAAAGGCATCTTTGACTTTGCCCTGAGTAACAATCCTGCTGACTTTGAGAACCCTGGCAAAGCTTGTTATGATTGGATATTAGATGATATCGAATATGAGAGACGTTTTGGAGCACTCAATAAAGGTAGGGAAATATGTTGTGAAAATATTTAATCAATACAGGTAAGATATACAGCTATATTTATCAGAAAGATAAAGTTTATTGAGTTTTATAGTAAATAATGAAAGAAGAAAAATGAGTGGAATAACAGTAAGTATCTTTCAATGCTTTGATCTGTTATGTAGTGTAAATCAGTACAAATGTTTCAGGTAGAATTAAGCTATTTTCATCGACACATTACTTGAGAATGTGTCATAGGTTGCTGTACTTCATGCATATGATGTCTCATATGACAGATATAATATGCTTTGATCGTGACTGATCCAAAATTTCATGAAATTCCCATTTTTAAACAAGAAAATTTAATTGATTTGTCCCATGACATAATTGTTACAAGTATATTGCTCACAAAAAGTAGTAGTTCATAGTATTTATAGTATTCAAAGTATTTATAGTTTTTCATTGCAAGTCACTTATGTCACTTTTAATATTCTGTGCAATGAAGGTACAGATCCAGAGATATTTTTAAGTCTTCCAAATTATCTATGTTGATCCTTCTTCCTTTTCGACTGTCTTCCGACAGAAAAAAATTAGATGCCTGTCAATGTAAACTTAAAAATTCCTACTGTCTTCTGGGAAACCCAGAATACGGCTTCGTCTGCCCCTGTAAGAAGGTGTTTCAAATTCACAGGTCCCCTGACCAGGTCTGGGGGCTTTTATTCTCTCTGTACCCAACTAGGTGATTGATGAAAAAAAGGTTTGTCACCCTGTGCTTTTGTTTATTTCAGAGGAGGCAGGAAAATGCCCCCGTGTCTTTGCTCTGCTGAGTAGGCGTACTTGGATTGCGTTCAGAAGCAATTGGTTTGCCACCTGCTATGTAAGGCGAATGCCTTTGGGCTCAGGTGATGAAGCACGATCCCCGCGCTGCTGTTACGACATCTTCTTTGGTGCCCTGGTAAAAGATTGGTGGCTCCTGGACGGCATGAATGTCTTCACTCGCTTTCCCCTGTCCACAGCCCGTGGTCGCAGTGAGGTGAAGGCTTTCCAAGACTGCTGCTTAAATAGCTGGGTCCATTGTTTTGACTATTTTGACAGGAGACCAATCTCCACAGGGAGCTTCTTCTTTGCTGCAGTCATTGGTAAGTTTGAATTTGAAGGACCAGTGAGCAAGGGCAGGTGAAGGCATCCTTGTACTAGGTCTTTCAGAAGTTGATCACAATTTAATTCACCTTTTAGTGACTTATTAAATAGATTTTAAATAAGTGGGCTGACTTTGGAAGACTCAAACTAGGATGCTGGATCCTCTCCTTGAATGATGTTTTTCAGTATGTGGAACATTCAAGGCAATGAAACATAATTTGATCTCTTAAAAAAAGAAGCAGTCACCATTTTACTGGCAAGTCTTATACGTGTAAGACAGTTATTGAACACAGAGGATGTAATAATGCTGATTTTCTAGAGCTTTGGATGTGCAGATTTTTTTAATGCAGAAGTTTGTTTTTGTAAATCACTGAAAGGTTGAGTGAGAGGTACTTGTTTTTCAAAAGCGTAAGAAAAATTGAAAAGTACTGATTCAGTGTGTTTGTGTTTGCATGCATGTTGGGCATGTATGCGCATATTCAGGCATGTGTGTGTGTGTGTGTGTGTGTGTGTGTGTGTGTGTGTGTGTGTGTGTGTGTGTGTGTGTGTGTGTGTGTGTGTGTGTGTGGCAGAGTGACTAGTTATTTTCTATCTGCTATATCTCACAGCCCTGTCAGCTGGAGACCCCCACATCACCACCCTGGATGGCCACCAGTACACCTTCAATGGCTGGGGAGAGTACAACCTGGTCAGTGGCAACCACTTCACGCTGCAGGGCCGTACGGCACCTGCATACACCGCCAACCCTCCACCACGTGCTACCGTGTTCACGTCGTTTGTTGCACAACAGGTAGTGCCAGGGAGCTCTAACAGTGATATTGTGGAGTTCAGGCTGAATGCTACTGGAGATGGTGTTGGTAAGTTGGAACAGATTTAAGAGAAACATTTATGGATCTTATTCATTGCAAATTTAAAATTGATATTATTATTCTGATTATTAGTATTTAGATTTCTTCTTTATGAAAACTGGAAACTTGATATCTACTTAGATATGCCTTGGTCACTCCAATTTGTTTTACCTTAGAGGCATGTTGAAAAATAGTTTGTTTTCTTTTCTTGCCATTTTATTTATGAAATTGAAATGAGCATGATCTCAAAATTGGGTAAATATATAGCAATTAATACCCTTGTTTATAACTTGGACAACTAGCAACATAACGTATTGATGATATTAGCTAATGTAAAGAGACTCTATATACAAACAAACATCAGTTGGTTCTTTGATATTTGCCAGTTTTGAAACTTAAATATAATTGCCTTTTGCAGATGTTTTAGTGAATGGTATCCTCCAGAATGGGTCATTCAGTGGTGATGGTCAAACATTCACCAAGGTGGTCATCTCTGAGCTGAATGGACGTTACTCCATGGGGTTCTCTACAGACATAGAGATTAGAGTGGAGGCCTCTTTGAACATGACCTCGGTGACAGTGGTGGCACCTGCTGCATGGAATAACAGTCTGACTGGTCAGTATGTTTACAGTGGGGTTTGAAATTTTAAAAGTCTCAGATTCTTTTGTGCACAAGCAAAAAATATATATGTGTATATAGATGTGGGTAATACATGTATAAGATTCTAGACATTAAAATGGAAAATTAAACATGAAACTCCAAAAGGCAAGAAATGTATTACATTATTGTGCCCTAAGCTTATGAAATTCTGGCAATGTACCTACCAATTTATATGTATGTATGTTCCATTTAAACATCAGGTTTGATGGGGAACTTCAATGGAGACAAGATGGACGAGTACATGTATCCCAATGGCTCTGTGTTGTCTATTAATGCCACAGAGGAAGAAGTCTTCTACTATGCACAACACTGTAAGTTGTTTAAGATAGCTATATTCTGCTACTGTAAGTGCTTTTTAAAAGTTTCATGGACCTAGTCTTGTCTTTGATCCCTCAAAATATTAACTTGTCTACATGATACATGCAGTATAGTGGTTTCATCTATACACCGATATTTCTGTTTGTTTCAAGGGGCCATTGACCCAGCCATGTCCTTGTTTACCTATGATGATATCAGTGCATACAATGCAAGCGACTACGGAAACTACACCTTTACACCACTGTAAGTTATTGAAGAAAAATATGAGTTTACTTAGCTTTTCTCTGTGTATGACCATATAGTGTGTGAACAATTTTTTTCATTAATAGATGCTACTATACATTGGGATAAAGAAATAAAATTTTCTTTTCTTGCAGTTTCTTCAACCTGGACACCATGTTCTCTGACAATGCAACACGAGAGTTGGCCATTACTACGTGTGGAGGCATGGACAACCTGAACAGGGAATGTGTGTTTGACATTGCCTTGACAGGCAACGCAGCTGTGGGTGCATCTACCTCCGCCTCACAGCAGCAAATGGCCACAGAGCAGGCCACACAGAGTGAGTGTATATAGATAGAAATACTAGAGTTTATGCTAAAATTCAAGGTTGGACCCTGTCATTCAGGTTAACAGTCATTCATTCGCACTGCCAGTCTATCGTACTCAAATGTGAAGTCACTGTACTGAATTTGCAACAAGATAGGTGTTTAAGTTCATCGTTCTTCAGAAAACCCAGATATCAGAGATATACAATATTCACTCAATGTTCTTTATAATTCGTATCTTACAATTGAGTTCAACAGCACAACCAGCCAAAGAACCTTAGCTTATATCCTAAAATGTTTTACCATAATTTACATTCCAGATAACTTCCCCCCATCGTTCTCCACCAGCAATGTCACCCTGAGACTCCTAGTGGGACAGAACATGGATCCAATTACCATCCAAGCTACAGACCCCAATTCAGGAGACAGCGTCACATTCAGCCTAGCAAGTCCTGTTCCTCCGGGTATGCATTGGAAACATACATGCAGAATACAATGTGAACTTAGAATATGATGTTTTGATACAAAATTTATTGGACCAGGTCAATAAGGTTTTGAAATAAAGGGGTTGAAATATTTATCAGATAAAACTATCTCAAGATTTATCAATGAACTAGAAGGATAAAGGTTTTTTTTGTGGTACAAAGATATATATACTTGAGTTATAAACTAATATATTAAAAATAAAAAGATTGTCTGACCCTTTCATTTCAAGTGCACAATGTTTTTTTTTTTTTTAGATTTATTTTAGATAGCTCATGTAAGATTCTCCTTTCCTTTTTTTCTCAAAACCAGATCATGTGTCTGATGAATGCAATGCTCTCTATCCTCAGGTTGTGCTATAAACCCAACAGGTGGACAGCTGTCCTGGAACTCTGTACCTTCCAACCTGACCAGAAACGAGACCGTGACCATAGTGGCCAGTGATGGCACTGCATCTGCCTCTCTTACTGCCAAGGTCCACTTCTGTAACTGCACCGTAAGTAGCAAAAGGTGTATGTATTACAAGGCATGTAGCCAGGAAATTAAAATGGTAGTGATGGTGGGGGAGGGGGTGGTGGTGTTATTTTGGGAACAAACAATCCAAAAAGGATATACCTATCAATGACCAACGTTGGGAAGAAGATACTTCCAAACTGTTCTTTAAATTTTTGCTTAAATTTTTAAACATCATATTATCTTCATAAATATTGAACCCGTCTGTTTCTTTCTTTTATCAAGAACGGGGGCACCTGCAAGTATGATGTTGTCACCTCCACAGAAAACTTTGTAGTAGTGCCGTGCCAGTGCCAGAGTGGCTACGAGGGCGCCCAGTGCCAGACAGACATAGATGGGTGTGCTGACACCCCCTGTTACTCTGGGGTGTCCTGTGAGGACAGACCTGCACCTCAGACTGGCTTCACCTGTGGCACCTGTCCTCTGGGGCTCATTGGGGATGGTACTGCTTGTGCTGGTAGGTGGTTACTGCGGACAGACTTGATATTGTATACAATTCAAATTGGAAAATTTAGCTGGATTTTTACAAGTTTTCTGCCTTTAGCAGCATAGACCACTGATTATCAGGCCACCAAGTCATTTCTTCTCACTTTTCACTTACAATTCAAAATCTTGTCTTGTTATAAACTTCACTGTTTTTTAATTGTGGTGAATAATAATTTTAAAGAGCTTAAAATTTATGGGTTTTTTTTTTTTTTTTTTTTTTTTTACATTTTGCCTGTTGGGTATGACGTCAAAATTAATTTTGACGATGTTGATTTTAATTAGTATGCTTGGTTAGGCATTCAACATTTAGTACAGTCAAGCTCTTACATTGCAGATAATGTACATTCAACTAATTAAGCTTCAACCTGTGCAAGTTCTGAATTAGAAAATAAATTTTAACATTTAATATTTTATCCATTTTGGATATTTGTGATTAAATCCCACTTTCAAAATTATTCCCAACAGATCAGGATGAATGCTACAATAACTCGTCTCCCTGTACTCAGACCTGTGAGAATCTGGCTGGAAGCTACCAGTGTTCTTGTAACTCAGGCTATCTGCTGGGACCAGACCTCAACACTTGCATTGGTATGGTCAGAATGAATATTACTTTTCAAAATAGTTTTCATATGTTTGTCTTATATTCACGTTATTTGATTCCATATTTAAATAAACTTTATGTGTGCAGTGTCACATTAATTTACATGACATTAATTGTAATTAAATATAAGCATAATGTTAAAATATTTTTTTAATATTGTCAAATATAAGTCAATTTCACACTAACTCAACTGTGTGTGTGTGTGTGTGTGTGTGTGTGTGTGTGTGTGTGTGTGTGTGTGTGTGTGTGTCCTAATATTTACAGCATGTTTCAATAATTTACATGGGAGTTTGTTATTAATTTTCAGATGTGGATGAATGTAGCCGTGGCACCCATAATTGTGACACAAACGCTGTGTGTAACAACACTGCTGGGTCGTTTGCCTGTACATGTGCCACAGGGTATGCTGGGACAGGAAAAACTGGAGAGTGTCAAGGTACGAGAGGTTGCTTGAGTTATATTAAATTTTTTAAAACAACATATTATATTTACCGTCCAAAATAGGAAAAGGGTAATTAAAAAGTGATGGATTATGAAAGTAATTTTTTGTAGTAGTTTTTGACTTGGGTGTTGTTCTAAAGCCTTCCCTTGGTGCAAGTACTAGCGGGATCAGTTATTTGTTGACTACTTTCATCATGGCTTATATCATGTTTGACTAAGTAGTGGGTATGGACTATTAATCAAACTGTAATTGAAATAACAAAATTTCTAAAATCAAAATAATTTTCCTTTGATAACTTTTGATAAATTTTATGTGATATTGGATTTTAATTTTCACTGTTGAATTACAGTCAGTAAAATTTTCAAATGAACAATATGCTCATCAAAGCAAGTGAACAATGAACTTTCCCATAATATTTCAGATATCAATGAGTGTTCCAGTAACCCCTGTGGTCTGAATGGCCAGTGCCAGAACTCGGCAGGCAGTTACGTCTGTAGTTGTACCCTTGGCTATCAGCGCAATCCAGTCACAAATGCCTGCGATGGTGAGTGAAGCTTTGAAATAAGTAGTATATTATTTTAAATAGTATTGACTCAGAATTAATTTTGTTTGGATAATATTTTGCTGTATTTCACGAATATTGTAAAAAATTCAGTTGTCATAGTTATATTACCTGGTCTATTTTGACCTCCCTTTTCCATAGAAATCAATGAGTGTGATGGTGATAACAACTGTGAGCAGACCTGTGTTGATGGTCTGGCAACCTACACTTGTAGCTGTACCACTGGATACAGACTAAATCCTGCAGATGCTGTCTCCTGCTTACGTAAGTAAAATTAACCTCAGATACAGGCTCTCTACTAGAGTCCCCTACCCCTCTCTGTTATGTGGCCTTCATCTCAGACTGACCTGATAGACTGATGTGAATATATGTTGCAATTCAGTGACCTAAGGGTCAGTGAATAACAGCATCCACTAGCTGATATCCACTGGCCTGTGTCCAGATTGCCTGTAATCCAACTGAAAACATTTCAGCTTGTGTTTTATAATTATGATATAAGATTTAGACTGTGAGGCTAGTTTTTTCAGTCAAGCACATACCTGTATGTGCAGTGTTTATATAGAGTGAATGCCTTTCTTCAAGACTGACGAGTATTCTTTTTTGACAGACAAGCACATGTATGTGCCTATGTATGTCATGTATAAAAAGTCAATGCTTACAACTTCAGTATATAATTGATTTCTATCTGTAGCTGAGCAGCAGTGTAGCAGCTCGGAGGCCACTACCTGTAGCAATGCAGGGGACGTGAACCCAACCTGTGCTGTCATCAGTGGAGTACCCACCTGTTCCTGTCCAGACAACTACGCCCTGGACGCAGCCAAGAAATGCATTGGTAAGTTGATATCAATTAATGTTTTTTGGGTTTTTTTGTCCTCCTGAAGAACTTTATATGTTGTTTAAGATCACAGTCGTACAATGTGTGGATTTATCCTAGTTGAAGGGAAGACCTGTAAGACAAAGATTTTTTTGTTAACTTCAGAATAAAGTATAGTTATCATTATGATATCTGGAAATAAGATGACATAATCAAAGGCTATTTTTTCATGACAACGTATAAGCAGTGGACTTTCTTTAACAGATATTTCAGCTGATAACAGATGTTTTTATGTAATCGACAACATATATATTTCCACCATGATTGGCAAATTATGTACATGCAAGGTTGGAAAATATGGCATTTCAGAGATTTTAGATGATATCTTATTTTGGAGTACTTCATGCAGTTGATGCCAAGGTGCCCTCTTGAGTGTTTTATATGTTACAAGACATATTTAAAGAACCAAAACAATTGAATTGATGAATTGATCATTTCAGATGTGAATGAGTGTCTGGGTTCCCACCAGTGCCTGCCATCAGGTGTCGCCACCTGCAGTAATATCGTTGGAGGCTACACCTGTGCCTGTAGTTCAGGCTACTCACTGGGCACCAACAACAGGACATGTATAGGTATGACGGCAGTTTTGGGTCTCTCACACTTAGACCTGCTTACACTTAACGCGCCACACGATATAGTCCCTAAGATACATAACACTTTTATATCAGGTGATACATGAAGACAGCATAGTGTTTCACAGAATTTCTGTGGTTTTTAACTAGTGTTGGCTCAAGATTTTAATTAGATGTTTTGAGGATACATTAAATGAATGCAACAAGAATAAAAAAGCTAAGACTTTTTAAGATAAAATCTCCAACCTGTAGTCCTACCTTAAGCAGAGTGTGGCAAATGAAGGTGATATGTCTATTCATCTTTTACTTTCCAGATATAAATGAGTGCACACAGACCACTGCAGGTGGCGCCGCCATGCACAACTGTGATCTCACAAGAGGCTCGTGTGTGAATATAGACGGAGGGTTCACCTGCACTTGTAACAACGGATACACTTTGAATTCCAATGGATACACTTGTGATGGTAATGACATACTGTAACATTTAATGTACTAAGTGTTGTCTAGAAATGGCTGATATCTCATCTGGGGTGTGCTAAGTTACATTGCATGTACCAGTAAACATGGAGATCAGATGCTCTAGCTACTGTAACACTTTGAAAAAATTTAAGCATTTGATTTATTTCCATATTTTCCCACAATTCTTAGACTGTGAGACAGTTATGAGAACATTGCAGACATTTCTAGATAAATTTGCTTAGAAGACGGTCTTTGCATGCTTGCAAAAAGAAAAAAAATCTTGGTACTTTTTTTGAAAGGTTCTGATGAAAATATTTGTAGTGAAAAGTAAATGAATTTTTTTTTAATTGTCAGTTCTGCACCAATTGGCATATTTTTATTTTACTTCCAGACAAGGATGAGTGTGCCTCAGCAACGACCAATGACTGTGACAAAAACTATGCCACATGTAACAACACTATTGGTAGCTACACCTGCGCCTGTAACACTGGCTTCACTGGTGATGGATACATATGTGCTGGTAAGGACCATTATAGGACTGTACATATTATAAGATCATGTTGGTGCATCTATATGGGTATCCACTAAATTTTAAACAGGGGGAGGGGTATTTAGTTTGAATCTTTTGCTGAAAAAGAAATGAGTATTAATGAAATTTACTTATACATGTTTAAAAGTACTTGTCAAGAACCCCCCCAAAAGTTTTGCTAACAGAATTTGTGTTTATATGCATGTATGCTTAAATGTCTGTGAGTGCGTGTTTTGGTAGGGAAATTTAAGTAATATAATCCTATGTAAACGAGGGCACAATTTGGGAAAATGCTTTCAGAAAATACCATAATTATAACAATTGTTGGTTGTAAGCATAAGTATTCATAGCTTGAGATTAATAATAAATTATTTTATAAATCCAGATAACACATGCAAGGTGTTATGTGTTTTAATATAGTTGATTTGTAATATGATGTTGTAGATCTCAATGAGTGTGGTAGCAGTGACCAGGGAGGCTGTGTCCAAGGCTGTACTAATAACATGGGCAGCTACTCCTGCTTCTGTGGAAATGGCTACAATCTGAACAGTGATGGGCGGTCTTGTGATGGTACGCAGTGCCAGATTATAATGGGCTCTTGTTTTAATTTCTTGTAATTTGGATCTATATGCATGTATTAGATCTGTGAATTGTAAATTTAAACTCCTGTATGAAACAACTTTAAAGACTTATTTTTGTATGTAACTAATAGGAATGGTATCTTGTAAAAGTAGAAAAAACTTGAAAATATTAAGTGACTATAAGAGGTATTAAATTTGTGAGTTCCATTATGGCAATATAATGATATATATATATTTCCAGATGAAAATGAGTGTGCACTAGAATCCAACCATGGCTGCTACTCCAGTGCCTACTGTAATAACACAGTCGGCAGCTATGAGTGTACCTGTCCCACAGACTTTGTGCTGAAAGCTGACGGCCGCACCTGTCAACGTAAGTCTTTATTAATTTCCAGTGATTTACTCCTTATTACCCTAATAGATTATAGACCAATGCAGTTTGTATATCTATTTTGTATTGATTTTGTATGGAGTTTATTTTTAATAAATTTTTCACAATAAAAAAAATAAGATTTTAGAAAGGTGTTTTTTTTAATCAGAATCATTTTCAAAATTTGCTTTCAAATCCAGAAAATAAAAGCATGTTCATGAAGAGTGCAATATTAATCCTGTCATAATAGCCTGTCAGTAATTTTCTTACCACTCATCCTGATATTCAGCTGCCAATCAGTGTGATGCTGGCCATGGCTGTAGTTACCTGTGTGCCAAGCTGAACAATGGTACTGATGTGTGCCAGTGTGCCAAGGGATATGTCCTGGCCAGTAATGGCAGAAACTGCACAGGTAAGGCTTCAGTGTGGTATAGTGTATGTGCTGTGTGATATACTGCAGGAGCAGTTGCCAAGTTGAAGAAAAGACCCCAGTGGTTTGCAGATTTTATTCTATTGGTAGTGAGATGTAAGACAGTAGATCAGAGCAATTTTGAATACTGCCATGTTTATAACTCTGCAGGAAATTATCTACCATTTCAAAAATGTTCTTTACAGTGGAAATTGATCACATGAAGAATATATTTAAGAATATTTTTGAAACGGCTTGTGATTGCTTAAACACATGATAATGACATGTAGCTTTTATATTAATAACAAAAATTTAACGTGATATATGTTGCTGTCTACAGAGATTTTTTTAGTGAATGCCAAATTCCATAAGTGCCTCCAGTGGAAAACTATTGTTTATACATGGCATATTTATATCATTTCCCTAGATGTGGATGAGTGCTCCTCTAGCAGTACCCACTCCTGTTTGGCATCTGACAATGTCCGCTGTGTCAATGACCCAGGAACTTACCACTGTGAATGTTTGGACTCCACTCAGTACCAACAGGTGGAGGCTAGAAAGTGTATTGGTAAGTGAGACATATGAAGTCATCTTACCAGTTTATAATCCAAGCATTGAGAAAGTGTTTATAATACTGTTGTTTGAACTTTATGTTATGAGTGCAGTCTTTATTTATTGACTGAAAACCACAAAATTTCATACACATTCCCACACTTTGTCATGCATGTAATGTGGCATGTAATGCGTGAAACCTGCATGATGTGGCACAGGAATCACAATCATCTACAGCTGCTCGCCGACACTACAGTTACTGCAGTTGTAAACAAATATTCTCTGCGTTATTTAGTTTATTGTTTATAGCCAATTTAAAGGAAAAAATGCACTATTTTCATTTAGATACTCTGCTGTGTTTCAGATATTGACGAGTGTTCTGCCAAGACAGCCACCTGTCCTGCCCACTCATTCTGTGTCAATGACCAGCCTGGGTACCACTGTGACTGTGTGGCAGGCTACAGGTTGGTGGCTGGCTCTTGTGTTGGTAAGGTTTTTTAAGAATTGATAATAGTAGTGTTATTGTGATAATAATAATTGCATGATTTAGATCAAGAGTAAAGGATAATAGTAGTAGAAGGACCTTGTGCAAGAGCAGGTGGAGTGTTTTCTCAAAAGTTCTTTACTTTTTATGTTGAAATATTTTTTGGATTTTGAGAGAAAATTCAGAAATAGGGAAATTCTTTCATCAACTGTGGTGTTTTCCAACTATTTTGAAATCCTCATTAACATTTCTGAATTTCACATTTATTTTACTTAACCCTATAGACACCAATGAATGCAGTGAGGGCACCCACGCCTGCCATGCCTCCCTGGGGGTATGCACCAACACAGAGGGGGCCTACACCTGCGCCTGTGTCTCTGGCTACACTGGGGACGGCGTGACCTGCACTGACCTGGACGAGTGTCTGGCCGCAGACTCTGGTGGCTGTGATGTCCTGAGGGGGCGTGGTCAGTGCCATAATTACCCTGGCTCCTACAACTGCAGCTGTCGCACTGGCTACCTGCTGGCTGATGACAGGAGAGTCTGTGATGGTGGGTCCACGTTCTGGTATACATATGTATAGGCAATTATTGAGCAGAGTGGCTTATAGCCCTTGATATCTTATATGCTAGTAGTGCCTTGGGTATGAGCAAATAATGAGTCAGATAATAATGAGAGAAATGATAAAATAAATGGCAGTGATAATAATAATAATAATAATAATAATAATAATAATAATAATAATAATAATAATAGATATGATAACAATGATAATATTGATAAAAGTCATAAGGGTAATGAAAAAGATAATAATAGACAATTCTGATAACATATTAATAAAAAAGAAGTAATGATAACAACTATGATAATGATATCGATAGCATTAATGATGAAAAAGATAATAACAATGAAACAGTTGTAAAACCCTGCATAACAATGCAGTTGCCATTTCTCTCCCCCAGACATCAATGAGTGTGATGCAGCCAACCCCCGACATGACTGTAGTCAGCTGTGTGTGAACACTGATGGTACCTTCAGATGTGACTGCCAGCCTGGCTTTGTACTGGCTGCCGACCAGAAGAACTGCACAGGTACGCAGTACTATGAAAACCACTCAGAGAGTGCAGACATTTCACTTACATCATGCTAATATATGAATCTAATATAAGAAAATAAATCGGTCGTAAATAGCGGTGATAAAGATCTGTAAAACTTATGATATAATTTTATATTTTAAGACATTGAAAAAAATCTTTTGTAGATTGTTGTTTTTGTCCTCTGCTTAAAGATCTAAGATTCAGAAATAATGAACAAAAATGGCATGATAATTTATTTCATAACAATCATCTTATCTAGATGTGTGAATATTTCCTTCTCAGTAGAAAATCTTAATCAAACAAGTGAAAACCAGTTCTGTGACATTTGCCAAATCAAAATATTAAAACTGTGATATCAGATTTTTAATTTAATTTTATTTGTTATACAAATTTGGAAAAGCTGACAACACAAATATGGTTCAACACCATCAGGTTTTTCCTATCCAGTATGAGTGCAGAAAAAATAGGAGTAAAAGTATCCGTTGTCCTTTTTGAACTTAAGAAGAAAAAATGAACAGACCAGTAAGTTCCTATAATGTGTATTATTCCAGTGAAGACCAGTTGTGCTGCTGGCCATGGCTGCAGTGATCTGTGTGCTGTGGTGAATGGATCAGATACATGTCTGTGTCAGAACAACTTTTTACCAGCTGGGATCTGATGGCAGGACTTGTATAGGTGGGTAGTTTATTATAATTCCTGCCCCCAACCTGATTAAGCAGCTCTAAACAATGTAATACTATGTAGAAATGCCAGTTATGATTATTATTTATTTATTTATTAATTATTATTTTTTATTGGGGGGGGGGGGTACCATTGTGTTCACAATTCCCCATAACAGTAGAATTATGATATATGTCATTATGTATTTGTAATCTATGACATACATTGTGCCATGGTACTGGAAAACTCTCACTATCTGCTAATATTTAAAAAATATTTTACCATAATGCTTAAAATTCCATAATTATATTATTTTATTATATTATTAGATTGGATTATTTCTTATTTCACAATTATTTCTCCAGACAAAGATGAGTGTGCAACAAGCAACCCATGTATTGGTAGTAACATTGCCTGCACGAACTTGGTGGGTGGCTATCGGTGCACGTGTACCAATGGGTACAAACTCAGTGCCACTGGACTGGAATGCAATGGTGAGTATTATATATATATATTTGATTTTTCTGTTTAAAGAGAATTATGCACTTGGTATCTCTTACGTTTTATATTGGGATTATACTTAACAGTTTTTAGATATCTAAGTCATAACTTATAATTTGCAGTAATTTCACAGATTATGTCATGATTTTGAAAATGTCAATGTAATGCTAATGGAGACTGAGACTTTTCTGATTTGACTGACTTTTAATCTTAACATTGCACTATATATTTTAATACTTCAATAATATATCTGCCTGTATTTAATCATTGACATTATTCATCTTATTCTGTTCATTTTACTCCTGTAAAGTCTACTGAACATTTTATATATGGATTTTAGATTAACAATAAATATGATTATTATTGTTATCTGTTTCATTCAGATCGTGATGGTGGTTTCACAGCCTGGGGGAACTGGTCTGATTGTACTGTGACCTGTGATGGTGGGACCCAGTGGAGGAACCGTTCCTGTACAAACCCTACACAGGTGGCCAATGGTCTGCCATGCTCTGGAGACTACACAGAAGTCCAGGCCTGCAACACTGAGTACTGCCCATGTGAGTGTTTTTCTTTATCTGTCTCTTCTTCTGAGAAGAATTTCATCAGCTGTGTTATGTTATAAGAATAATGTAATTTTTTTTCCTTCAGTCAACAGCTAATATTATATATAATACTACGTAGTTTTTACCTCCAGATGTCCTGCTAGACATCGAAATATTAAAGGTAAAAACTATCTCAATATTAACTGCTGACTGAAGAAAAAAATTACATCATTCTTTCTCTTCTTGTTTTCATAATATATAGCTTTCTATTTGTTTATGTTACTTAAAATGTATCAATATACTAAGATGTATTAATCCATTTTTGAGATTTTATATGTTAAATTGTTTTGGATTGTTTTGGGAGCTTCAAATTTGCTCATGCTTGCAATAGTGAAACTGCCAAGTTATGAATTTTTTAGGCATATTTGTGACTTGTATGGAAAAAAAATCAATGTGACTGTATTTTTTTCAGTAACTGCCACAGAGAGGACATATGGTGTCATTGTTACCCTGACTAATGTCACAGTTGCTCAGGTGAGCGATTCTTTCACCCCTCTTCATGCAGACTTGTTAGGCTTTGACAGTTGCCAACATGACAGTAATGTGCAGAATTAGCAAAATCATCAAAAAAGAAGTTATAACTTACTTTTAGTGGAAATAAACTAGTGCAACTTCACATTTACTTTAATGGTGCTACGCTTTCTGATCTAATAGAAACTTTGTGTTAATTTAGGTGACCTCCATCAAGGACCTTATTGTCAGTGTGATAGTGACTGCTGTGAATGACTTCTGTAACCTGCCCAGCTCCTTTAGTGTCTGCTGTCCTAACAGCGGAACAAGGTCAGTTAGATAACACACACACACACACACACACACACACACACACACACACACACACACACACACATGCAGAGAGAGAGAGAGAGAGAATGCATGATGGACTCACAATGCTAAAACTGAAGCATGCATGGTCAGTTAGAAGTTTATTCTTCCCACACACACACAGAGAGATAGGGATGTTTCATTTAATGCATTTGCACAAAACCATTTATGTCTTACCTAGTAAACATATTTCTTTTAGCACATCTTGAGAACCAACTCACCTGAGAACCCACCTGATGCATACATTTTTTCAACCTTTTTCAGAAACAGCACTGGCAATGAAACACTGGCCTTCACTAACACATCCTTTGTCCAGATCGGTGGCAGCTATCCTCGCCCCAACCCATTTGATGCCACCAAGACGGATCTCCTGGTGGTAGCCAAGGCCCCCAGGGACAATGACTTGTGTGCTTCTGGTGTGATCACATCAGGCAGAAAGAAACGAGCAGGTGAGCACTTGAGTAATCGCATGCTAACATGCACACATGCACCCACTGTAAAACATACTGGTATAGCGGAGAGTTATAGAATACCGGTAGTATTTTTTTTTTTTTTTTTACTTGCTGATAAATATGAAAAAAGAAATACACATTTCAATATTTTTTACTAATGTAAAGTAACTTTCAGAAGCAGTCTGATTATACAGCAGTGCATTGTTTCCAGCGTTTTTATCTATGATCCTATCGTACGAGAACATAATTTTTCCACTTTTCATGTATCTACAAGTCTAGCTCCATTTTCAATTAACTTTACTTGTTATATAAACAGTCCATGTAAATGTCAATCAACTGGTTTACTTTACTACATAAAAGTACAATTTTATGATTGAAAACATGTATATAACAATCATACATAATATGTATATGATTATGGTGACATGCACATGTACTATATGTATCTTTACCTTATCTGTTCCTTATCTATTTACTTCAGTTAACTTGGACACTTCCACAGAGCTTGTCATTGACCAGGCAACACTACAGACTACTGTGAATAGTGCGTAAGTAGCATATTTATATGTTGTAGTGTGCATGTGTGTGTGTGTGTGTGTGCACGCGCGCTACTTCAAAATCAATACTCTATATGAGCTAGGGGACTGCAGATTTAGTGAGCTGTAGGAATACAGTACTTTCTTGACATTATATCTCGCACTAACTCACTCTCTCCATGTTTGATGACACGCATGGCCAGGTAAATAAGATCATCAAGAAATTGAAAGCTAAGTTTGAGATGTTTACTTTCTTTCTTTTTCTTTCTTTCTTTCAACCACCAGACATGTGGTGTGATAATTACTCTGTTTGGTATTGTTCCAGGGCTACATCCATCCTGGCAGTTGTGTCATCAGCATACCCCAGCCTCAGTGTCATCTTGGCAGTCATCACCCCAGCGGACCAGACGACCACTGCAGCACCTCTTAATGTAAGCCACTGCATCTGTGACACAACTTTAGACATCTTTTTGAACTGTTCATTGTGATAATTGTTTAATATTAAAATATGCAATAAAAAACTATTTGAAATATGATTAAAGAAATTAAAATAAACACTGGGTTTGGGACATAATTAGTGCAAGCAAAGTTTAAGTATTTAAATTGCTATTTGACTCTACTGAATATTACCATAATAATTCATGGTGTCTTATAGTACATGTACCTTTGATTTCAATTTGCTAATTAATATGCTTTCTCTTGGTATTATAATCGCTGTTAATGCAGAATATTTATGGAGATCATACTTGATTGTCATGTTTCACACTCTTGTTTAATCTAATGATATATACCTGAACTCTTTTCCAATATCAGACCACATTAGTCTCTAACACTACTGAGGCAGTGGCCCCAGCCCCAACGGACATGACATGGGCGTATATAGTTGGGGGTGTGCTTGGCACCTGTGTCCTGATAGTTGTCATAGTGGTGGTGGTCCTGGTGGTGATGAAGTAAGTGTTCAGTCTGGCTCACAGCTTGTTGAGTAAACTGGGAGGGGATGGGAATCATTCCAGATAGCTAGCTATAAGGGTGATCATTCCCATGGAATTGATGGAGCCAATTCTGCGGGGACTCTTACTGAGTGCAAACAGTTTAACTGAATGACACGCCTCCTGGCATTGGGTAGAATACAGAAGTATTTTGTTGAATCTTCCTGTACATGTGTTGTATTTTTCATCTTCACTTTTTGCTCTAGACTTTTTTATAGGCCAACAAAAAAAGGAAAATAAAAAACATTTATCATGCATGTGTCTCGAGATAACATTTTTTGAGCAGCAATGTCCACAGTTGCTGTAACAGTTCCACACTAACAACGTGTTAATTATGTCTGTTTACTTTTCTAGGGGTAAGAAGCAGAAGATTGATCCATCGGAAGGATCTAATGAGGAGTCTGAGGGGCGTTACAGGACCACGATTACCTCCTCAGGGGACCCCACCGTACAGACAACCCACTACAACAGAGAAGTAACTCAAGTCAGTGCAACCACTGGGTTTACCCTGCACTCGGCACCTGAGTCAACATTTGTGCCATCTACCACTGATCTAAAGTATTCAGACTCAGATTTAAGACCATCAACTGGGAGCCAGAGTCTGAAGTCGCAAAGCTCCACCAGTCAGAATCAAGAGAACAGTGAGCCAATGAAAAGAGAGCAGTCATCTAACAGTCTGTCTGTGGGTATTGGTGGAGAGATGGTGTCTTCCCAGCCCAACACCCCTGGGCGTAACTCCCTCACCCCTGTGATGCCACTGGATACTACCGAGGTTCCTGGACCTGCCACTTACAACATGCCTGGGGAGCTTGAGAAGGACCAGGTGTAGACAGTGGGTGATGTTATTCATGGATATATACGTGGACTTGAAATGACAGGGAAATCTTTGAATGTGGAAAAATTCCACTTCCTGGAAAGTTAAGGCTACTAGTTCCTATAAGATCTTTCATTTTAGACATAATACGGTCTGTAAATTTTTGATGTACTCTTAATTCATTAAATTCAGTTTTGACTGCATTTGGTTCTCCATTTTGAAACATACAAACTGTGTCCATATGTACCTGTATTGCATTCTTTCTGAGATACCAAACTGAACTCCATAAGATGTTCACATTCCAATGTACATCAGGATTGGGGAATATTCAGTAGTTGTTCCCGTTGTCCAGTTATTATTGTGTAAAAGCATCTGTGATAGACTTCCATTTATATAGCATTTATAAAAAAGATCTTTATTTTATAACTTCCGTGCAGCTTATTATATGTGCAAATAATTCCAGTGTGGTATTTTTAAAATCTAAATAACATTCCTACAGTGCAGTACACTATGGAGTTAGGTACTGTTGGAGACTCTCTTTTAAATCTGTTTTTACTTAATATATTTGGATTGATTAACAGCAGTCTAATGTACATGCAGTGCTGTGTCATGTAAACTAGCATAATACAATATTATACCAAATAATTTTGGAGGTATTTTCCTATTAATACTACAACCATATGTAACTGTGTTCAGCGTTGTGTCCTTTGTGCTCATTATATTTATTGTTAGAGCAGTATTATCTCTTTTATAGAACACTGCAGGCTAATGTATATACCTATTTGGTGAGAGCTGCAGTACTGTGGTAGTTCAAATGAAGTATTTCAGCCTGTCAGGTAAATTATTTTCTATGAAGTAAAACTTGGATTTCACATGATTATACCATTTGCAGAAACAAAATTAATATTTGGACAGCTTAAACTTTTAGTAATTCCCTGTGAACACATAATAGTTGCCAATGACTTCTCGCTAAATTAATAAAAACTAATTGGCTCTAAAAAAAAAAAAAAAAAATGATATGATGGACTTTCATTGGTAGCTAGAAGAAACACAGGGTTTCATTTATTTGACACAGTAAGCGCACATGGTAAATGTCACAAAATCAGTTCTGTGCCTTTTGATTATATAAGATCTTCAGTCAACTGTCGGGATTGTTTCCTTTCTACATAGTGGAAGACGTGAAATATCTCCATTTTTTATTATATCTAACCGGTTATGGATTTAATATGGAAAGGATTTTTTTGGGGGGGCAAATTTTTCCTTGATGTGAATTTTTGAAGGACATGGATTATAAGAAAGCTTTCCAATTTGTATTATATTATGTATTTATTCGGATATGGACTTTGTGCATATATACATTTTTTTTTTAGGTTTTAAATTATTAACATTAAGATAAATGTGGTAAGCAACATTAGCCTCAAAAGTTAGTGTGATGCTATCAGGTTTGTCTTTTGGTTAAAAATCACTGAGTTTCACACAATGAAAGATATTAGTCTGAATTTGTATCTTTTACTAAATTTGAAATTCCCAAATGGCATGTCTGTGTTGTGAAGTGATGTAGAATAATTTATAGCCCTGTTTTATATGGTGACCTATACCGCTCTAGTATTCTTCATCTGTAATTATACTTTATATCATCTTTTAATTTTCCAATATTTTGAATGTAGTCATTGTCTGTCAAGTAACCTTACATGCATTTACATGATGGACATAATAATATAACTCTTTTAAATGTTATCTGCAATGGTGAAGCCTTTAAGTCATTACATTTTATATAGCCTTCACTTTTTCTAAATGCTGTCCACTTTTTCTTTCAAGTATTGTTTTTTGTAAAGTTGTATTATTGCAAAGTACATGCATGAACCAGAACTCCAGTGCAGACAGTTTTCTCAACTAGCACCAGATTAACTGTAGATGGCACCACTTACCACTACTTCTGATCCAGTACAATGGAGTGCAAATGGGTTTCTATTATGTGGAACTATTCATGATCTTCCATAGGTTGGCAAGATGGTCAGCAAGATAGCCTACATGTGGTCTTCAATGCACTTTTACCAGTATTTCACTCGTAAAAGATTTAGCTCTAAAGATTCATCAAACATTGGGATTGGTCTACAACTAAAAATGTTTTATGGGTGTCCAATAAGTATAATAGGACCAAAATGGAATCTGTTTGAAACATGCATTTAATTCAAACCATAGTCACACAGGAATACTTTTTAAATAAAGAGATTAATTTGTAATAAACTAGGTGTGCAAAAAGAAAGATGTGTGCATTTTTATTTCTGACATCGGATTTCAATTTTGGTTGCTTGTGATTGTCCATGCTGTAACTGTCGCTATAATTTGACACTAACTGCCAATTCTATTTTATTTTAAAATTCCTTGAAACTTGAGATATATTTATTTTATTTGCTTTTTTGCATATATTTCTCCATCATTAGCCCAATGCTGACAGAAAAGTACTTTAACAGCAAGTAACAAAGTTTATGTTCACATTTTAAAAGTTGTCTATAACAATTATATTCCATAATATTTCAATCATTTTAAAATAATTTTTCATACAGTGTACTCTTATAGTTTCTGTATATATATAAAAACATATTCAGATAAAATCGCCCCATTTAAACAGAAATCTTGTGACAGAAAAAAATTTTATAAATTATGTGCACTAACCCTTGGTTTTTTAGAGATATATCCACGAATACAAAAGACTTATATAACACATAAGCAATATTTCTCACTGGCAGATAATTATAGACACTCCCCCTCACAAAAAAACATCTTCTGAGATGGCCCCTAGCCCTGAACCACAACAACAACAACAACAACAACAATAATAATAGTTATAATATACAATAAGCAGATACTACAGTTTAGCAAAGAGGTCTGCTGTCAACATCATGTGGTCTGAGGCATGGAGGGCTTCATCAGGCACAGCGTACACCAGCCTCAAACTATCCCCCAGTAACCAGTAGCCTAAACTTGCTGCCAGAGTCAGGCAGAGAATGCAGTATAACACCTGAGGTCCCGGAGGAAGATAGCACAGTGGGCAGTATTGGAAGATAACAGACTGCTTGGCTCTCTTTGTGAACGAAGATAAGCTGATGTACAACTCGGGGTTGAACAGACACAGTATGAATGGCGATTTTCTCAGCTGCTGGATTCGGTTCATCGTGAACATAACTTGTAGCATAGCGAAGATTAACTGTCCAATGCAGAATATGAGAAGGATCACAGTCATTTGAATATGTGTGTACAGTTCAGGCAGACATTCAGTACAGTAGGGTACCAGACAAGTCTTCTGGTTTCCACCGCGAACGCAAACTCCGCAGCGACAGGAAGCTCTGGGACCGCAATCGTGAGGGCATGAATAACCTTTAAACCCTTGCCGTGCATTCTGGGACGCCTCTAAAATGCGGTAAAACCTCTCTCGTAGTATTGCTTGGTAGTACCTGTCCCTGTACGCAGTACCACTTCCGTCCAGTCTGGCCGTCAGGACCTTGACCCCAGTGGACACCAGTATCCTATCTGGACGACTCTCCAAACCTGGGGTGGGCTGAAATTGAAAAAAAAAGGGGGTGGGGGGTAGATATAAAATACAAAATACATAATAATAATAATAATGCATTAACAGTGGGTCTGGGGAAGGGGGAGGGCATAATGGACCAGGTACCCCCCCCCCTTCCTCTCCCCAGATTCAGAGGTAAACTCTTCTATTTACCAAAAAAACCTGCTGACGTATCAAGCAATACAAGTCAAAGCTGAGCTTATTTCCAATCCCAGTTCATTACACATTCCAGTGAATTTATCTTAATCAAGTATTTTACATCTGCCTAGCAAGTCAAGGTGAAAGCTTATCATCATTATGCCATGGAACCAAACTGCCGACTTAATGCTGTATGTCACAATGAAAAAGATATCCTACATGGCCTACTTAATTTTCAGTGTGTTTTGTAATAAAGAAAACTTGATATTTTAAATACAGTTAACTGATTCTAAGAAAAACCTGCAATGAAAAAAAAAAACTTAAACACTACAATAACAATTATCATTTGTGTTACTGAAGGCAACAGTGCAAAAAAAATGTCACTGTAAAGGCAGAAAACCTAGAAATCTACATTAAAATCATGCATAAATCATGTACAAAAAATCTACAAATAATTACCATATTACTAAATGTCAAGCCTTCCTCGTGGCTGTACTGTAGTGATGTCCAAACATCTCTAAAACGCGGCCCACCATAGCGGAACTGGCTGTCAGCATAGCACTTTTTCTTGCTCCATTTATAACTGGTCAACAGATGGATTGGCATCTCGAAATCTGTGTAAGTGTTGAAGTCTCCCAGAATTACGACATTTCTCAGATGATTTCCTACAAAAGACGTGTGCAGCGTAAACGCAGGGTGTGAGAAAAACATTAAGGATGTTTCATTCACAGAAAACTGTTATTACAGCTTTACACAAAGTGTGAAAAGGTAATTTTACATTATAATTGTTTCTCTTAAATCAAACTTTGAATCAATATTCTTCAACCTTGTATATTTCAGTGTCCACTCCAAGAATCTACTGGTATTTATGAAATGATCATTTGGAAAGTCTTAAATCAATGTATGTAGAAAAGATAACACCTTTATCACTATAATGTTAATCATATTCGCATTCAATATGCTATAAGTTATAACTTTTATCACTTTCAGGTTATTCAAACTTATGTTCAATCAGCTAAAACTGCTATCACTTTCATGTTAATCATGCTCAAGTTCAATACTAGTATGCTATAATAGAAGTGCTATCAATTTCAGGTTAATCATGCTCACGTTCAATATGCTATAAGATAGAAGTGTTATCACTTTCACATTAATCACGCTCACGTTCAATGTGCTATAAGATAGAAGTGTTATCACTTTCACATTAATCATGCTCACGTTCAATATGCTATCAGATAGAAGTGCTATCACTTTCACGTTAATCATGCTCACGTTCAATATGCTATAAGATAGAAGTGTTATCACTTTCACATTAATCATGCTCATGTTCAATATGCTATAAGATAGAAGTGTTAACTATCACTTTCACATTAATCATGCTCACGTTCAATATGCCCCAGCACATCTCTCGCATTACTGCACTGCTGCTGCCTGTCATAAGAAAAATGCACTACAGCCAAGTTGAAGATCCCCATTCCTCTAATGCCAATACGCATGTGCACAACAACACGCTTGTTTGTGTCTGGACCTTTGTTGTATATGAGAGGCTGAATCTTGGTCAAAATCATGGGATGTCTACTTAGTACTCCTATACCTGAAATTATGTTAAATTCAATTTGGAATATGTTCAACATACTATAGATATGTCCATACCAAATGAAATGCATACATATCCCCTACTTGCTTCATTGTCCAAACAATAGAATGCATGCCAAAAAGGTAGGTCTCTTTTTTTAAATTTATTAATTTTGTTGCCAATAATCCCTAATCCACCAGCTGCATCTACACGTACAAGTCTGTTTGAAAGTGAAGTACTAGCAAATGGTCTTGCCAAAAGATCTATATGGTATAGCAGTAATATAAATGACTGTTCTTATATGTTTTACCTTCTTTCTCCCATCCCGACAAGTAACTGTCTTGCACCTGTTCCACTTCATTGACTGGATGGAAATGACTCCATTTATATTCAGGAAGAAGTGCTTGAAGTTCTGCTATTTGTGTGTGCTTCCCCTTCTCGCTTGCTCTGACTTCCTGTAATGCTATCAAGTCAGGGTGAACAGTTTTGATCTGCAAAGGAAATAAACTGTGGGCTAAGATCTATGATAAAGGGCTTAATATTGATTTACACTTACTGTACTACGTACTGTACAGTATCTGTATCTGTCAATATACGTCTAAAGAAACCACTGCTGGTATATGATACTGACATTTACAAATTATGATAGTAATATACAAGTGTTGCGTGTTTTAAAATTTTTTTAAAATTTTGATATCATGTATAAAGATGGGCACGAAAGAGAGAGAGAGAGAGGATTACCATTTCGGCTATCCGATACTTTCGCACTTCCCAGTGAAACATAATGTTCCAGAGGTTCAGTGTTGCTGCCCGGAGTATCCCACAGCCGAAAGAAAGCTGCAAAACCAATATACACGAGTACAAAGGTATCCTTCCGTTTTCCATCTGTAATCTATATGTTTTGCGGAATGCCCACTCTCTCACTTTACAACCACTCTGCCATTCTCGCTACAACAGTTTACTTCAATCACAAATATACACCGATTCTCATTGAAGGCTGGTTTCCTCAAGACAGTACCAAGTCGTTAGATCAGACAACTATTTCATTTCAAGAAGTCTGTGATTTCAAGCTTGTAGTGACAAGAAGACAAGAGACAAATCCCCTCCCATGCTGAATTTAAGTCTTCACCATTCCCTGGGAGCATTTGTATCAGTAAAAATATTGTCTAAATTTTCTGGTGAGACAAGTAGGTTAACACGTCTGCGGCCGTGCAGTATCTAATCAAAATAGAATGATATTATAAGATTATTATTATTATTATTATTATTATTATTATTATTGTTGTTGTTGTTGTTGTTGTTGTTGTTGTTGTTGTGATTGTTGTTGTTGTCGTCCCACCGGGACCACGTGACTGCGTAGTTTATTAACTTCCAGACCTGGCGAAAAGTATTTACTTTTAAAGCACGCCGTTTGTTTATTAAATCATTTTTTTTTTGTATTTTGATGATGGAATCATTAGTTGGACATAACTTTTGAAGGATATGCTCCGTCCAAGCTATTCTGATGGTCTGTCAATTATCCTTTAAACTTTGAACAGCATCAAAATCCATCATTTACTACCAGGGTTTATAAGTACACTGTGCCAAAACTGAGGACTGTACGATCGTCAATAACTTTTATCCCATGGGCTTTATCAAATTTTAAGAACTGAGGCTTTTATGAACTTCTAATGTGTATCGAATCTTTTTAACACTTACAAGTATATTTTAAGATTGTGCATCTCACCACTATTTGTTTTTATTGTAAAATCCAACTTTTTAAGTTGCAAATAAATACATATTATTATTATCTAGACCATTCATTTTAATCCCGTCTATGATCCTGTGGCAGTGAAAAAAGGTTTGATTGAAAAAGGGTAAAACGGTTTTCTTTTAGCAAGAAATGCCAAGCTCCACTAAACACTTTAAAAACAGTTTCTATGTCTGATGAATATTGTGGCTTAATTCAAAGTTGTGGATTGGAGTTACAAACGCTCGGAGAGCAAATTTTTGCCTGTTCCCTCACCCTTGTTAAGTTGGGACTTATGCCATATTTAAGAGTAAACATAAATTCAGACATCAGTGTTAACGAACTTAAGACATTGCAGCTTTTTTGTTACATATTTGTTACAGACACATGCAATTATTTTGACCTATAATAATCTAAAGAAGGAAATGAAAAAGCAGAGTACGGTGAATTGTTTATTTACAAATTAGACTACAAATGCTTGCAGTTACATATATACAAAACCAACTAAACAAATGAAAATAAATACTTCGATTCTGTGTTACTTAGTCGTTCAGTTATAAGAATAATTTTGCTGATTTCGTTGTATCAAACATACATTGTATGCTTCATATCTACGTTTTAAATTGATTGCTTTAATCCCTAAAAAATCCATCGATAATAAAATAACAAACGGAAAATCACATTGAAGAATAACGGCATTCATATCTGTGGGAATGAAGAAACCACAAAAAAGACTAAGAAAACGGTATTGGATAGTAGATGGATGAAAATGAAAATATGATAATGCGCTTTAGGAGAAAAGTAGAGATCGCTATATGAATCACCCATCTATGGTGTATTTCCCACAAAAATACTTCGGATTAAATTTATATGAAAAGTGTATGCGTTTGTTTTTGAGGAGTCACATCTTTAACAAGGTCTGTAAAAAGTTATCCTGCGGCCTGCAGGGCCTCGCCCTGGCGTCCATACGACTGTAGAAAACCGCTAAAGTTCACGTTCTCTCCAGCAAGGGCATCGTTGGGGTTGGGGGCGTTTTCGTCCTCAATCGGTACTCTAAGACCCTGCCTTGAAATTGGGATGTTATCGTCGACTTCTACCAGTCCCTTGGTATCTGCATCAGGAACACTGGACGATGGTAGGCGGGGGGCTAGAAGTGGATATGAAATGATGTTAGAAGATGATGTATTCATATTCAGGCCCGTAGCAAGAGGGTTTGGGGGATTCGAATTACCCCCCCCCTCCCCATTTTGTATCTATGCAGTAATATCAGACCCGTAGCCAGCTCTTTTTCTGAAAATGTGGACCTATTGCCATGAAACTTCAGTTTACTTGGATCAAATTTACATATATGTAAGAAACTGATATGTGAAAGCATTATATTTCATTTTTTGTGTCAAATATTTCTTGGCAGGTTCCACTTTAAAGAGAGTTTTTCTTACCTGTAGGGCCCCTGCCGAATATAAAGCCATCAAAGGAGATACCTGGAAACAAAAGAGAAGTCTGTAGGTGTATTATCTCAGATTTAGAAAAAAAGTTAAAATCCGTACACAGAAGATGTGTCTTACCGCAGTAAATGATTTCGGTTTGCAAAAAAGATTACCCTCTACTAGGGCCGCGGATTAATTATGTACGTATTTCTCAAAAACACACTGGAGAAACGTCACATAAATCAGCCAGAGACATATCTGTGAATATCTTGTGAAAAATCAATCTGTGACCCTGGTATAGAAGGTAACAGAGGATGGAATCTTAGACCCTGTCAAACTCAAGATCAAATCTGAATCTTATGTAATGTTGTTTACTTTTAGCTTACTTCAGTCTTTTATATATTGTTTAGCGGCTGCACACTTACCATCAATACGGCGTCTGAGTGCTTTAATATATTCTTGCGCGGACCAATCGAAACTCATGCATTTTGGGAAATGTGGCGGCGGTGGGACTCTCTTATGCAGGTTCTGGGCCTCGTTCAGCACCAGCGCCATCCCGCCAAGTGCATGAATCTCCACGTGACAGTGGAAAAACCACCAACCTGGGAAGATGAAGATTGTTAATAAACTTATGGAGGTCGGTTATTTTTCAGATCTGTTTTTCCATTTTCCATTAATCCATTAAAATATCCGACGTGGGTTTTTCCCCTAATCTACAACTCCTATCTTAGACAGATATGACCTCCAAACACAGTACAGATAGTCGACACAAAATCAATATTTATTCCCCACCAAGTCTGACATACAATGTGTCTTGTTTTATCTGAGGTGGCTCATCCTGGAACAGCTTTTCAAAAAAAAAAAAAAAAAAACTTCAAACTTCGGTGTTCTATTCAGGTAGATCTAAATGCACGAAATAATCAAAACTTCTCAGTGAGGGGAAAAAAAGGCAAAGAAGCCAACCCGTCCACCCTTCTCCTGCTTTCCTCTCCACATCGTTTCTGGTATATTTTCTTACCTGGGTTATCAGCTTCTATCCTGACGACAGCGTAGCCGCCGGCGGGGACGATGATGGTGTCCTTACGGAGGGGGTCCTGCAGGTTCAGACCGGCCACGGCGCTGGGGTTGATGTTCCACTGGTTGTTGCGCCACCTGGGGTTATTACACGGCACACGTCCTCCGGTGCTAGATGTCAGGCCGGCATTACTAAAATAATAATAATAATAATAATAATAATAATAATAATAATAATAATAATGGTGATAATCACAATGAAAAAATATGCACCACAACGTATTTAACTCGTGTCGTGTCAAACATGATATATGGTTACTTAATATTGTGCCTGCTGGAGAAATGTATCTAGGATCAGAGAAAGAAAATCGGAAAATGACTAATTGCTTGCCTAATACCAACAGATGAAAAATACATACGCAATGTCAGTTGACTGTAGGTTAGTGCAGCATTTGGTTTCGTCATCTGGACAAGGGCAGCAAATGTCGTCGTTGTACTTGAGGAAGGCACCGTTGGCGTCCTGATCGGCATACGCCACCTTCAACACGTGGAAACTGTGACCATGCATGTGGATGGGATGTGGAGCGCCCTCTATTCCAATTGATAAAAAATGAATAAGTTTAATAATAGAAATAGGTGTGGCTAACCTGTTCTCGGTCTATATAATTATACAACTTATAGTAACTTATAGTAACTGGCTCGCGCTGCCAGTAATTACGCCGCGGGATATTCAGGGCACAGACCGTGATCATAAGACATACCGCGAATAGAAAATAGAATTTAGAAAATAGACATTGCATGTGAACGAAGCCTAAGCAGACCAAACATACCGAAGTAAAATAACATTCAATTTCTAATGCCACGGGCACTTTCATTTGGTTTCTGCATAAATACAATACTTACGGTTTCCACCTCCACTCCCATGATTGACCAGAACGAACTGGTACGCCTTCTTGTATTCGAGGTCTATCTTATTGGTACACCTGCATCCGTCCGCGTTCTTCTCCGTGTCACACGAGGCATCACATTGCGTTAGAGATCCCGGGAGTGTGTCCGGTTGTGTCAGAGGCGGTGCCGTGGGTCTCACGTGCGCAATGCCATTTACGGACGCTCCGTTGGCCAGGAAGTGCCAGTTGGTAAAGATCTGTCGGGTCCGTCTCACCGGGGTGGGAACGGGCTCGTTGTCATGGGGACCCTGCGCTGCAGGGTTTTTGACGGAGTCACCAACATTCAGACACTGGAAGTTGCGATTGGGAGGGAATTTTCCAAACGGACAGTTATAGACCTTGCACTTGTTACTCGAACTACATGGTTCTGGAATGGACTGTATCTGAGAATCCGGCGTGACAACTCGAGGTCCGCTAGGGTTCTGGTACTGCAGGATTGCAAGCACTTGTTGCTTCAACGGAGTATTTGTAGCCGGGTCGGTCACCAAACTTTCTGCTCTAAGCCAGTAGGCCGCGTTGGGACGATCGGCCGTTATCAGGAAATCATACCTCTCCCCGGGGTTGATCAACAAGCTCTGGACCTCAACAGGCTCCATTTCAAAACCGTCCGAGGCCACAACCGTCAGAGGGTGGTCGTCAATGAAAACTCGGTAGGCGTACTGCACGGAATTGGAAATCATTCTGAAGCGATACCTCAGCGGTGGATTCTGTCTCTTGACGTCATACCTCTCATAGGGCACCTGGTTGTCGACCGGGGTGGTCTGGAAGAAAAGAGGGTCCGTGTACCTGTGACGCCCGTTGATGACTCCAGAAACGTAGGGGATTCCGGCCAAGGCGACCTTGTCGGGGCCGAAGGTAACGGCAAACTTGTTGGTGCCTTGGGGGAAGAACGGGTTCTCAAGATAGAAACCTCCTCCGCCGTTTTGGATCTTGAAAACCTACAGAATACATTAATGCAAAATATGAAATAGCCCCGAAAGGTCTTCTTCTTGTTGCAGGGAATTATTCTAACAGAAAATTATTTCATCTGGGCTTTTGTCCTACGTTTGATCGTGTGTGTGTGTCTGTGTGTAATGTAAATGTATACTAACTGCGCAATGATACACAGTATGTGTATGTGTAAACTATAGTAGTAATGTACAGACAGAGAGAGAGAGAGAGAGAGAGAGAATGAGAGAGAGAGAGAGAGAGAGAGAGAGAGAAAGCTACCACCTACATTTTTTGTGTCCTCATGAAACCAGTCCTGCAGCAGTATAACGTGTTCCTCCTCAGACACACTTACTGATCTCGCCAGCTGGAAGTTCCTGAATCTAGAGAAGAAATTTCTACCAAAACTGGATCCCGACGTTGAGCTGGTATACGTGATCTCGTGTTCCGGGTATACTATTAAAGCTCCCACCAGACCGTCTGTTCTGTGTGCACCGGTGTGGGCGTGATAAAAGAAGGTTCCTAAAAGACATAAATTACGTTGTAACTTAGTGACTTAACGGTTGTGGACATTTCATAGTTAAAAAATCAGGAAAATTAGCACCCAAAAGAATGCAATATTTCCGTGCTCAAGGTTGGAAAATGCACATTAAGGTGTTGATAAAATTTTAATTTGTCGTTCCTGAAACTGTAACTGTAATTTTCGTGCCCTGGAGCTAGTTGTTTTTACTTATCGGTCCCAACATGCACGAAAAAAAAAAGCAAACCAATTAATAAAAAAGTAAAATTTTAAAAATTATTATTTAAAAAAATATATTTGCTCCTCCTCGCCCCTACGGCTACGTACCAGATGGTTCGGCTTTAAACCTGTAGGTGAAGACCTGCCCAGAGTTAATAGGACACTGGGTGAGGTGGGGGACGCCGTCCATAAACCCCGTCTTAAACTGAAACATGCCGTGCCAGTGGACGGTGATAGGCTCGTTAATCAGGTTGTTCTTCACGTGCACCACGACCATCGCACCTGAGGGGGCCTGGGGTATCAAAGTGATTAATTAATTGATTGATCGGTTAATTTATTGATTGCGTATTTGGTTGGTTGGTTGGTTGACTTGCTGGTGATTAGATGGGCTGAACTTTTCATTCTTTCATTAATTTACTTAGTCAATCATCTGTTACGTAAATAATTGATTACTTGAATAAAGCCTGTTATTTTAACCATAAATGTAGGCCTTGCTTATTTATTTATTTATTTATTTTTGTGTGTGTGTGTGGGGGGGGGGGGGGGAGGGCGCACTTTTATTTACTAATCTTGATTTAACGTACAGAGCATCTGGCCTTAAATAAGGGGATCATACCTCTATCTTTGGTCCCGGCATTGTGCCATTGATAGCTATCAACTCTCTGAATATACCATCCCCTGTGATTACATTGTCTGAAACAATAGAGCAACGGCTGTCATTATCGGGCTTTAATAAATTGAGTTTAAGACTTGAAAACAACAAAATTACATTCTAAACCTGCACATATCTGTAGCACACTTAATGTCCATGTTTAAAAAAACATTTACAAACAAGAAAAAGTATTCCTTATTACGCACCCGGACATGGAAATGATGTAGCGGTTAAACGCAGTCATTACCAGCAGAGGATTTTGTTTGACGTAAAAAAAAAATCAGTGAAAAAGATTAAATAAACATTAATCAACACTTACCGAATGAAATGGCTCTGCTAGTACCCGCACAGTTGGGATCGTCAATGAGGCAGGCCACACACTCGCCCAGCAGAGATCCATTAGGGAGTGTACAGTCGGGCACCACACGCTGGTTTTGATATGTCATGGTGTGCGCATGCTCGACTACTAGCACGTACTCGCATACTGTAATGAATTTAAAAAATTGATGTGGAAATTCGGAGTTTGGGGTTGTGCTTATCAGTTTTATACCACCACGTCAATTTTGCCACTCTCTCTCTCTCTCTCTTAGCCCTATTAACCCTTCGATCAGCTTGGGCCCCACAAATAACAAATTAAAGCCATATGCTTGTGGCAAGTGGCATGAAAATAACGTAGATCATTTTAGTCTGTCCTTGAAAAGTGCGCGTTATGCTTTCGCTTCCTATTATTCCGAAGCAATACACAACTCTTTCTTTAAATATAAGAAAGACTTTGTATTAAGATATACGGTAAAAAATTGTCCATATAATCAACTCAGAACTTATTTTACTTACTTGTTTGCTTCACGAAGTATCGTTTGGACAGAATTCTTTTATAGAATATTAACTCTTCTCTGCAATTTGGTAGAGATCTGACGCCCTGAAAACGTGACAAAATTACATTACTCTATTCATCGTCCTCTTTCTTAGCATTTTTACTGTCCCATTTGTTCAAACCTATTCCACGGGGGCGTTGTTTGTGAATTATCATTGTATATCCTGTACAAAGAATGGCCATGGTAAAATCGATTGAAAGTTGTGGTTTCAATATGGTTAATGATGTGAAGGACTTATGAGGCATTCTTAGGATCCGGGTTACCAATTCTCAGAAAGAAGGATCCGGGACACCTGATTAGCTGAGCTCACATGCGGACATCCGTTTAAAATAGGTTACTTACCAAAACTAAGTTTATTATTCACACTTCATTATCAAAATAAAAACTGCTGTCAAGGTTACAAGAAAAAAACAACAACATTTTTTCAAAACATTTTGTTCAATTTTGTAATAGCTAGAGAGCCCATTTTAGTTGTTGTTGTGTGTGTGTGTGTGTGTGTGGGGGGGGGGGTAACAACATGACGGTAAAAACTAGTATAAATGGAGCCGAAAAATAATGCTAAAATAAATAAATGAATATAAATAAATAAATAAATAAATAAATAAATAAATAAATAAATAAATAAATAAATAAATAAATAAAACAATCACAATAAAGAGACATATAAATTTTTTATACATAAAGCGGGATATGTTATGTTATATATGTTACGAAATCGCTTACCTGAGTTACGGCGAGGTAGGTTGTAAGACATAACAAAATTGCACATATTCCACGTAACATTTTTCGCTCCATTCTGACCTGGATATGATTTAAAAATCACAAATTAGTTAAACATCATAACAAAAATTTAGAAATCGTTTTTATGTGTACACGTACCGACAAAATTCTCTTTCTCTCGCACACACAACGCACAGGTGCGGAAACGCAGCATTTCAAACGATTAATTTAATCGAGTTCTTAACTAAACTTCTACTTTTCATACTTTCTCTAAGTAAACTCACCTGATTTTGTATTAAAAAAACTGCTGCGTTATCAACTCTCCCTTCTGTGCGCAGAAAGTATGTGCGCGGGTGATGCGCTCTCTCTTACTTATACCCGGATCCTCCGTCGTATATTCATGCACGCTCATTGAAAAGTTTTTACACCTCATTTCCGCTGACATACTTCCTCGTTTAAATATAGTGCTCGCGTGGGTTTACTCATGTAAAGAAACAGTCAAATCCGGGTGACCAAAAGCTCTTGTTCTCGTCAGGTTGAATGCAACTTATTTTAGACCAAGTTTCAGGTGTCAAATGCTTTATTTCGGCTCTCGATCACGATCTTGTCTGTTTTTGATTCCACCCTTCCATAACTGATTAACTCGGGGCTGAGAAAGGGGATCATTTTGGGAGAAGTAAGGAGCTATGACATTTAACCCTGCTGTCTTTAGCTTTGTATTTTTCGTTGAATTTATACCAGTGCGGTTTTGTCCATATGTATAGTTTCCTCGCCCCAACCAAATCCCTGACAGAATATTCGCTGAATACTTATCCCCCTGCACCAACCCTGGACAATTTGGTGTATTCAAAAAGGAATAAATAAATAAATAAATAAATAAATAAATAAATAAATAAATAAAAAAGAAAAAAAAAAAAAAAAAAAAAAAAAAAACAGTGCACTGAGAGCTCTTATACCAGCTCAACTTACTACATTTATCATCGCCGACCGCCCGTCTTTTAAACCCTTGGCAGCTTATGGCATATTGTCTTTGTTAAACAACACGTTAATGGTAACTAATATAAGTGTATCAGAGGTCATGAGAGCGGAAAAAGAAACTGGGGAAAGTGGGCTCAACTGTGTTGAGTATTCATTTAAACTAGTGGTGCCCCACCTCTTGTGCACGAAGAGCTCGCAATAGCCTCACAGGGAAAAAGATTTTTGGCTTAACAGCGCTTTATTTTTCGACATAGACCCCCTCCAACACTTCACACACTTGTACCATCTTTATTTGAACTAGCTTAATTTGCCCATCACTGTTACCAGATCAGTAGAACTCAACATCTTGGTCCCCTGACAGCAGCTGTCAGCTTCCCCTCTTCCTCCTCAAATCTGCAAGCTTTTTTTAGTCTGTCCACGTGCACGGCAGCTGTCAGCTCCACCTCCTCCTCCTCAAATCTGAAGATGTTTTTTTTCAACCGCCTACGTGCGCGGCAACTCTCAGCTCCTCCTCCTCCTCAAATCTGAAGTTTTTCAACCCGTCCACGTGCACAGCAGCTGTCGGCTCCTCCTCCTCCTCAAATCTGAAGGTTAATTTTTTTTTCAGCTTGTCCACGTGCACAGCAGCTGTCAGCTCCCTCTCCTTCTAAAATCAGCTGGCATAAAAATCCTTGTGTCAGCTAGGAAAATACCTGGAAGTCGCTGAGGCCAGATCTGGGCCCAGTTTCATCAACACTGAATAGCGCTATCATCTGGATAACACTATCCATTAGATAAAATTGTTATCATCTGGGCAATTATCCTGCGGACAAAACAATGTTTAGTAAACACTAGATACTTATTTTTTGTCTCTGATATTGATTTCCAGCGTTTAAAAAGGCGGCTATCTTGGCCCTGGTGAAGCAGAGGCTTATGCCGGGTTTGGCTGGGTGAATGTCTCTTCTACACAGCGTAGGGCTAACTAAACGTATTGTGTCCAGATATATGATTCTGTGTTGAATTAGGAGCTTAGACATTAAAAACATCAACTTAGGAATTTTATGGAGATGGGGCTTTTATTGTTTATGCCCCAAAACTTTGGAACGAACTGCTTTTATATATATATATATATAAGATCTAAAAGTAGGCCTAATTATGACAGTTTTATTGTCTCTCTTAAAACTTAACTTTTTAAGTTTTTAAAAAAATTATTAATGTGTTTTTAACTTTTAAATTATGACTGTATTGTTACTGTAGTACTGTTAAATATATTATAATTGTTAAGTGCATTGAAAAGTACGAAAACAGAACGCGTTAGGCCTATACAAAAAATTATTATTCTTATTAGTTTAGGGTGTCGTGCAAAACTAGAAAACGGGAAATCAGTGAAGTTAAAATTGCCTACTTGTGATATTTTCGTGACTGTAGATTTGTTGTACTTTTAAACATATTTTTAAAAGTATGAGCTAGTGCAACAGAAATTCTCAACGATTAAATTCGTTTGATAAAACGGCGTGATTAGAATATTCGTGAAGTAACACGGCGCTGCAAACTGAAAGTTGATTTCACAATACCCGTGAAGAGTTACCAGAATTGCGGAAGTAAAAATTGCGTTGTGTTTTTATTAAATCAGTCTGCTATAATTCAAAACATACAGCGCTTTTTGTGTAGTGAGCAGACGAATTGTTAGCGGCGAGAGGCGCTGATAACGCTTCCGGATCCAAGACGAGACAAACTAGACACATGATCATATTTGCTTTCAATACACTAGATGGAGCTTTTTTTTAAGTAGCTGAAGGAACTCACGTTATTGAAATATTGGTAGAGGAGCGCGTCTGGGGAAAAATTTGGCCGTAAAACATGACACTTAATGTGAACTAAATCATCATTTGATACTGGCATACTAGCTATAGTGAGGTTGCTCAACACGAACTTTTCAAGTTCGCAGGTCTCTTTTGTGAGGACATGCTTGTTTGATGTTTGTTGGTGTACATTACTGTCGCAGATACCGATATAAAGTTTTTTCATCTTCAGGTCGCAATACAAGGTAAACATGGCCTAGATTCTTTAACCTAACAGGAAATGTAAGGTACAATTCAGATATCACAATCCCCTAGAGGGACACACCATTCTTGTGGTGTGCAAATTGTCTTAAAAAAACACAAGGAAATGTTGGGGGTGACTAACTGTATCCCAGTGAGTTGTATACGTATAGGGGCGCCCTCTTTTTACATCTCATTCACAGCCTCTCTTCGCCCCCCCCCCCTCTCTCTCTCTGTTTGTGTTATGAACAGAGGTTGTCAGTGACAACATATTCAGTGAACCACTGTAAACCACTGCAAGGGACCAGTTTCAGTAACGAAGGTCACGTCACAAATGTCTGCCCTGTGGTGTTAGAAGAGGCCACGCCCTTGAGGGCGTACACTAATGATTTATCAATTTAAACCTGGTTTTACAAACGAAAAATACCTCTCTTGATTAAACACAATCATGTGGAAAAGGTGACAAGAGTTGTCTCAGTCTGTCGTAAAAATATTATTCTTGTCCAATATTTCAAAAAATGATTTATCTCTTACTTATATTATATTAAGGTGCTACAAATTAAGCTATTTTCTCCGGATCGCATATATTTTGCTGACGACAAATAAAAATGTTAATCTTCAATCCTTCCTCATACCAAACACTTAATAAGGTTCCATCATTCCAATGTCGACCGTGGTCAATGTGGCGTTCTTGACCAAACCAATAACCATTTCCTTTTCTTTTCGTGGAAAGCTTTGACCCATTTTACTATCAATTTGTGATTGGTTGTTCTCTTTTCCTAAACGGAAATCGTTAAATTACATCATTACTGCGGTTAGGTATATTTTTAGAGTCTATATGTTAGTCAGTTTTATAAAAGGAATATAAGGAAGAAACACATGGGTCTGTTACATTGTTGAATAAGAGATGTGATAAATCACACGGTGTTTTTTCTTCAAACAAGCAGGTTACTTCATTCATTATTATTCGCATTATCCCTTTTTGAATTCCACAATCTTTGTATAAATGTGTATGGAGACAATATCCAATTTTCCAATTCTGAGGATTAAAAAAAAAAAAAAAAAAAAAAAAATATATATATATATATATATATATATATATATATATATATATATATATATATATATATATATATATATATAGAGAGAGAGAGAGAGAGAGAGAGAGAGAGATATAACAGATATTGGGGCGGATATTTATTTTGTAAATCCGGTGTAGCTGAAATGCGTAACTTAGGCGTGTTGGGGGGTAGTCGGCTCATGCCCTAGTTAGATTCCACTTTACCAAAACTATTGGATATTGTTAACTGGAAATTAAAGTGAAGAAATAAAGCAGAGAGAATTTAATTTTGAATTGCAGCTTGAAGAGGTCATCTCCGACAGTATGGAAATCAATTATGTGTTTTGCCACCAGATGTCGGTAGCGTCTTGCGTCACCTTTTGAAATTAAACCTCAATCTTACCTCAGCTGCATGTGGATTTTTGTGGCATCAAAATTATTCAGATGCCTGCGAATTCCTGGCGCACGGAAATTTTGAATAAGTTAATGCACCCGTGGATAAATTTAATCATAATTATCTTTTTTTCCGTCTGACTTCGCGCTGACGCACTGTTATCTAATATACTAATTTTCTTCTAAATGTTAAAATCAGACCATTTAAACATATACTTTTTAAATAGCCACAAGCTATACGAAGATATTTACATTAGGAGGGGCGCTGTCAGATATTTTGATTTAAATTCGGATATTTTTAGAAGCGGTGGGACAAACTAATAATAAGTCGTGATCATGGTGCACGACGAGAAACCCCAATGTATGAACATCCATTTCAGTTGAGGGCTGTTAAGATGCTTTGGTCACATTTAATTGGGAAAAAAGAAGTACAAAGGAAATAAGCCAATTTGATTACGTTACGCTGGGATATAGAATAAATACAATATATAGAATATAAAATAAACATGGAAAATAGGATTTTTGATTACATTCTAGTGGAAAAAAAAGAAAAATTTGAAAAACAGAGCGAATATTCAGCTAGATAAAATACTGTGAATGAGTTGGGGTCTGGCCCTGTGGAAGAGAACTATCATTCACATATCATTCTTAACTAGAACGTCTAAAATTGCTACTATTTCATGGTTAAAGCGTCAACGTTCCCTCCACCCGTCATTATTTCTATAGCGGCTACCCTTATTATTCCAAAACATCACGTAGGGCCCCGTTCCCATAGCCACCTTCGGTCTACGTGGATCGACTCAACCCTGTAGGGACATTGACTGCAACCAGTTAAGCTAAATTACACGCTTTAGAAGTCTTCCTCCTGGTGTTAAGAAGAATACAGAAAAGCTCTTGCTTATAAGAGTACGTTGGGAACAAGAGGTGGCGCGGGATTCGGTTAAACTGATTACAGTCAGCGAGAGTACCCACGGAGTTGGGTCGATCCACGTAGACCGACGGTGTCTTTGTGAATGGGGTCATAGAGACAGTTAAACCTGACAGAGACGACTGTCCTCAATCTTGAATACATCATGCGTTCAAGAAAGAACTCATGAACCTCATACAAACGTGTGCTAGGCAAGGGGCTAAACGTAAGCGGACTGAGAGGCGCGTTTGCGTTTATGGTGTGGATATCGACCGCGTCCGGGTTTTACAACACATGTCCCTCGTCACGTCTCGCTTATTTTGTATGCAAGGACAGTCATCAACAATTCGCAAACACGTTGACCCTAACTGGTTATTCCACATCAAGTCAAAATAGAATGGGTGTTAAAGAATTTACTAGAAAAAAATATTGTTGGGCTCACCATTTATTAACTGTATATACTTATTTACAATATAGTTATATTTTATTACATTTACATATTACAGTGTGAGGGGTATTTGTGTCTTGAGTAAGACCAACATTAATTCCACGTTTCTCTTAGCGCAGTTTATTTACTCGAACTGATGTTTTTTTCTTTATCTCGGTTGTTGCCTTAATTTTGAGACAGGCCAACCAAGAATATTGCATAATCGTTGGCATTTTTGTAAGTGTGTTAGAAGTCGAAAGCGAGAGACTTTGATAATTAATGTTTCATTTTCATTGTGATAACTTTACAAATAAAATGCATGGCTGAGTTGGAAAGGATGGTCCAAATAACATGTTTTAAGTCCCGCAATCAAAGCCACGTAATACTTAAAATTGCAAAATTAAAATTTTTTAAAAGCAATTTTAGACAAAAAAAATCATACCTTACATGTGGATGTATCAAAACTCTTTCAGTTTGTGTAAACAATAAAAAATATGTAACAGTAAAGCTAGCTCCTTATCAATAAATGTCAAGTAAACCGAAAAGTCCTTTTAGCATCCAAACTCCCTAAGTTAAAAGAAAAAATGCAAAAATAATTTTCGAATAACCAAAACTGGATTAAAAAGCACAAATGTTTGTAATATCGACAGCTGTTAATTAACGTCATCCTTCTCGACCAAATTGATAATGATCAACAAAGTGCTTCCCAGCAATAATTCATACCTACAGTTTTCATTTGTCTACGTGTATTTCCTTGTTTGATCAGGCTCATATTGATGTTATAACCATGGTAACCATGCGCGTGATCATAAAGTCATAATGATAGCATCAGGGCACGTGTCTGTCGGCAACCAATGGCCTCTTCGGGGACGTGAGTTTGGCTCGCCTGAATATTTCCTGGTGACGTGCCTCGTATACTAAACTCCACCCACCGTTCATTTTTCTTTAAAAAATTTTAATTGCATAAAATGAAACAATAGCGCGGAAAAAGAAAATCACACTTAAGCAATGTAATTAAGTTGCGATGTATCACTGTAGACTTCGTCTTTGCGGATATACTTCAAGCTAAAGGTGATATTATATTTAATGCCCCCCTATGATTTATGATACTTGTCGTAGTTTTGAGGTTTTTAAATGGCGATGATTATCTCTATCGGCATGTTATTATCATCGTCATCGCAAGGTCTGACAGAGAATGACCAAACTATCCCAATAATAGTCCAAACAAGTGTGCATAATTAAAGATTTAGTAAAGTTTATGGACGAGATTTGGTTCTTTTAGGATGTTTTTTCACCCAAGTTAATAAACGTTTTATTCAGGAACAAGGCACCGGTGTTAAAAATCTGAACAAGCGTGATACCATCACTACAATTATTATAACACACAATTATTTGGAATAAAGAAAATGGATGGATTGTGTACGTAAGATAAGGAAGATCTCAAGGGTCTAAATAAAAAAATTTCTACAGGCTTTGATAGCTGTCCACATTTTTTTCAACCACAAAAGTTATTTGAATACGCTGTCGGTGCGTGCCCTACAACGTATCCTAAAATAAGTAGCATTATAACTAAACATAAACGACTTAAGTTCAAAATATTATTCTTTGACTCTCATTTTTTCTAGCTCAAGGTCACAATTAAGCGTTTAAACTGAGAAAAGCTACCGTGACAAAAGTAATAACGCAGTATAAAGTTTGTGTGAGCCGTTTTTTTTTACACATCCAACTTACTGCACTTTGAGCAGATTAATCGACCAACCAAGTTAGAAAAAAAGGTAATTTGTCAATTTGTCTTTTTCTCAACTCTCAGACTAACGCAATCGTCCCATCACGTACTGATGTGTTTTGCAAACCGTTTTGAGAAAATGGCGTCACAGCTACAGGTATCTAGCTTCGCGGTGGGCGGTCCCATTACGAGGTGTGACGGAAGCTCGACATCCTAAAGATGTTATTTTTACACCTTGGTCAGCCTCCTCATTTGCCTAGAAAATTAACCAGCCATCTCTCTATATAAGGGAACAGTCTTCTCCTCACTCCCCATTATCTAGTCAGACTAGTATAAAGCAGAGAGAGAGGTAAGCAGTATATTTTTAAGTGAAATTATTTTGTTCAGGCTATATTTACTATTAGAAAGATTTGGCCGTTAAAATGTACGCGACTTTTATGAATCAGTTAAGCTATTGTGTTTTCTTAAAACAGTAGAGAATTCGATTATATGTTTAAGTAACCAATTGCTTTTTAACGAAATAATGACAAGTATTGCCGTATTTTGAGTGGGCCTACATTGGCAGAAGAATTATTTAGCATGTAACAAGTTTCGATTTTGATGTGTTAAGGTAGGCCTACATATATGCTTTCAAAAGATGGTGTAGAAATCGAAAAGTGAATGGGTTAACTGGTGTTTTAGTAATAGTAATCACTTAATTTGGACCATAATGTTATTGATTCAGCTACCTTTACTTTCGCTATTGTCACAGGAGCATTATCGGGCTGAATGCCTACATGTCAATGGGTGTTGGTACACCCGTGAACGATTCTCACTAGTAGTAATTGTGGGCATTGCATGATGATGATCTGGTGACAAGAGCGACACGGGCTGTTTCGCTTGTTTTTTTTTCAAAGTAAGAGATAACTATCAGTAAAGCGTCAGTGAAGACAACCCATTGGAACCGTGAACAATCTTATCAATAATATGGGTTAATTTTCCATTGCAGTGAAAACATGTCAACACAGAAAACGAGTGCCTTCTCCACGCATTTGTCTACTTTTTTCGAAAATTTTGGCGGGAGCTACCCTCCTCGACCAGTTTTCCACGACTGGCCAGCGTGTTTCAAGATCTATCAAGATGTCTGCCTTGAAATGCCTGAGAAGTTACACACGCTTAACAGTCCAGAGGAGTTCAGAAAGTGGATGACAGTAAAATTGAACGATGTAGGTTTCGTTTGTTAAATTGAAAAATATGGATTGGACATCTCTGTTGATTTCTTTCTCTCTCTCTCTCTCTCGCACATTCACACACACACACACACACGCACACACACTCGCACGCATACTCTCTCTCTCTCTCTCTTACAAACGCACGCACGCTCTCGCGTATACTCTCTCTCCCTCACAAACAAACACACAAACACACACACACACTCACAAAACAATAATTCCCTCAGTCTTATCATCTTTTGATTAACAAAAACATCTTTATCAATACGTCGATCTTTCTCTCTTTCCTTCCCAGTTTTTCATATACAGTATGTATTTATTCAACTCAGGTCAATTTATCCGAAGTCGACGTTGCTATTACGGCTCAGAGGGGGGCGAGGTGGAGCCCTGTGCTGGCGGGTTACCTGGGTTGTCTGGCCTACCTGGCACACGCCTACCGCTGGGGCACCGTACCGACCACGAGCCGGGAACGAGAAAGAACGACCCTCCAGTTCCCCGCCTGTCTATGGGAGCCCTTTAAAAAGGTAATGGCAGATACGAAGAATTAATGTTTCAATTGTCGTGCTCCCGGTTAGTAATTTTTTCAGGCGTTTCCCACTGAATTTTTACTCATAAAATAGGGATGCAACGAATGAGTACATATTTCTTTGCGTGACTTCGTTCTATTCTTATCACACAGCACAAGCTTAAGGCCATGTGTTATTTTGTAGTCAGTTATTGTTGTATTACATTTTTACATCTTGATTCACATAAGTGCCTATGTTGTTGACAATCCCTTACCTTTCTAACAGTTGGATGATTATTAAGGCCTTCAATACCGTGACCACCATGTTTCACTCATGTTATTAGCGGCAGTTTAAAGCCGTCTATGTTTATTGCCTACGGTCTCAGACAACAATCTTTAGGCCCTATATCATAATATACTCAGTTATTTTGTATAACATTTTCACATCTTTATTGAGATAAGTGCAGCTATTTTTGACAATTTCTTTTTTCCTGAACAGGTGAATGATTATTTCGGTCTTCCATACCGTGGTAATCATTTTTCCCTCATGGCATGCAACGCTCTTTATGATGAAAATGGAGCCCCAGTCGACATGAAGTTCAACTGGAATTATGACCCAGAAATAGCGTCACAAGAAAACAATTTCAAGTTACTAATGGTAAAGGCAGAGTGCGAAACACCTCATATCCTCAGTGCCCTTGGAAGGTATTTGGATCTGCTCGAAATGTTTTCTGTGTCAGGGGCGGTCGACGTGGATGACATCGAGGAACGGATGATCGAAGAAGTGTATGTTGCAAAGCGCCATCTCGCGGCAGCTCTGATGCTCGTAAACAAAAACATGCACGAAAATTTCATTTCACGGAAGATCTTTGCACCGCACGTCCAGGGGATGATAGCCTGGGGCATAGATTCGGACATCGGGTCGTCTGCCTCGGAAAACCTCATTTTCCAAGCAATAAATGTGTTTTGCAATATGGAAGGCGGGAGCGAAATGAGCCGTTTTGGAAAGAGGACACGGGGGAACATCCCAGAAAATTCCAGAGCTTTACTGAAGAGTTTTGAAGAGAGCACTGAAAGAGACCTCTTTCCGACCGAGAAACTGAGGAAAGCAAAGGCCGACGTCATCACGGTGTATTATTCCTTTATTTTGGGACATGCGCGTAAGGTGCCGGAGTACATAGCTGAGAGTCACATGACTGCATCCGGGTTCTTAAAGGAAGACTTGGTGTGCCGCTTCAAGCGCCAGATGAAGGAGCGGTGCGACGAAGTTTCTTCCGCTAGAAACAAAGCACTTGGCAGATCGTCTGATGCCTCTTTCGAGAGTGAAGACGTTGGGAATAGTTTGTGGTCGTGGAGTAAAGCAGCGTTTCAGTGGGGGAAAGAGGTTCTAACGTCTCACTACAGACTAATGATCGTTTTGATTTTGTCTTCTTGAGTTATGGTTAACTCTCCCATTTTCGTCGCGGAGCAGCACAATCGCTCTACTTGCGCAAGTGTGATAAATCGAACCAAAGAAATATTTTGCTATATTTTACATGTTATTCGGGACCAGACTGTGAGCAAATTCTCTTGGCAATATGCCGTTTTCTTAAATATAAAGGGACGGAGTATTGGCGGGCATACTCAAAGTGTTGCGTTAAAGTTTCTTTTTTAAAATATTCACTGTCAGTTTAAACTTTTTTATAATTCAAAACGCCATTTAGGCTCGTTTTTAGGGGTTACATGTATTTTGTTTGGTGTTTGGCGGATCCAGGATTATTTAAAGGGGGGTCCCACTTTTTAGGAATGACAGGCCTCTGATGCGGAGCCGACCCTCAGACCCTTTGGGGTGTTTTGGAGGGCAAACAGTGGTATTTAGAACTGTTAAGAACTATGAATCAGCTTGACAAAATCCTAATTCCAAGAGGGGAATATCAGTGTGATTTTTTTACAGAAACCGAAAGGGGGTCAGGACCCCCATGAGCACCCTTCCGCAACTGTGTCGTCAAAATGTAGTTCATGATTTGTTAAAAAATTTTACATTTTGATATCAAATGCACCTCCTTTCCTTTAATAATTGTTATACAAGGTTTAATTTTGAATCTATTTTTTTGCTTAACATATATATATATATATATAATACTTTCCAGACTATAACATTTTGAAAAGATATTGTAAAGTGCATTTTATTTTTCTTGACATATTTAATAATTTACCATACGTTTACTCCATGTATGAATTATATTGTGTAGAACTTATAGATCTTTTTTCTTAGATTAAAAAAAAAAAACAAAAAAACTATTAAGTGCTGGCGCTTCAACCTCGTTTTATCATCTTGTTTTCTTCTGCACACATCGAAATCGATCGTAGTTTTATCATTAGATTTGCTTCAAATGTTTTATTTCAAAACAAATGTACATACAGAGACTGGAGCCATGTCACTGGTACAAACATAACGGTATAATAAACGGAAACCAGAAAGCAGAGAGACATAAAAAACGCTTGGATATCACATATACAGCGATTGAAACTGGGGCTCGCTCAAATTGTGCAATCAGGAACTGTGGAATTGGACTCTTTGAAAAAGTCACATTTGAGAAATAAATTTTCATCTATATATATTTTGGAATATTTTGTTACGTAGTTCTAAGGGCTTACCTGTTCACAACAATGGGAGCCAGACCCTTTATTACCTGGGGCTCTCAAGTAGGCCTACATGGCACTGGAACAGGTGTAACGAAACTGAGGGCCCAGGTAACAGAAAGTTCGCCCTCCATTTAGTTATAACGGTTACTTTATGTATTAACTTTTTACAATTATTTATTTTAGCTCTTCGTGTGTTGTTCATGACTCATTATCATGAATCAAGTGAACGTTAAATAATATATATATATATATGTGTTTGAAAATGAACACTGGTCTTGTTCTTCGGCGTTTTGTTCTCATATTCGATCTGCCTTTACTCTAGCCTTCCGTTGCAGTTGATACATGTACAACATAACTCGTTAGGGACCATTCCCAGACCCTATCGTACTAGCTGTGGATCGGTCTATCTCCCAAGGGATATTTGCTAAATTGCAATCAACTTAACTCTGTTACGTTACACCGGTACCAGAACGAAAACCGATACCACCGACTCCGTTTAGTTTTTTTACTCACTTTTTCCCAATTACAAATTCTCTTCTCAGACACGAACAAAATGAATTAAATTCCAGAACACTTACTCAGGGATCTTAGTTTGGTCAGTACTGTTAATCGGCTTTAAAACTTTTAAAGAGCGATTTTTAGTTAAATCTTTGCTTTCTCTTATTCGAGTAAAACGAAAGCAGCCAAAGTCTCGTTTTTCCGAAGCTGCAGTTCTGAGATGGTGATCGCTGACGTCCGAGGTCTGCAAGGAAAAAACTTCATGAAATAAAAACAGGGTGTTACATATTAAGATATCTCAAGACACTTTTCGGTTTTGCCGCCACCTTGTAGACGTTTGATGGCATTGTCTTCTGTGTTACTCTGCCTTGGACCGCCAGGAATAAACATCCTGTAATGACATCAAAAATCTAATATTCAAACTAATATAACGCCATCACACACGTTTTTCTTGGTCATCGTTCGTGTAGACTTAGCGCTGGTTTTCCGTCTGGAAATTCCGCAAGGAAACACAGAACAGGCAGTTAGATTTATTGGTTTCCCACCCCCTTGGAAACTTCTCTCCCAAGTCCAAATCTCACCACCTATATATACCTTTGCCTCACGCCAGGTTACATGCGCCATATCTGCGTCTTTGACACTCGTATAAGATTCAAGTTTTGCAATGTAAAATACTGTTCAAGTAAATATCAACGTCTGGCATAGTAAGTGAGGCGTATATTAACGTATGAGTAGCGTATGGGTACAGTGTATGAGCGTATGAGCATTGCATAATGCTCAGCGTGGCTGTACCGCATATAGGAGTCTATGAGTAACTTGTGTGAGATCGTATAACGTATGGGTAGCGTACGAGTACCCACTTCCAGGTCCACTTATTATTATTTTACTAGATATTCACGGATAATGTCTTTGGCTAAATGTGGTCAATCTTGTAACTGTGGCTGGTGGAAAATGTGCCTGTAATATCTGCCGCCCTGGTAGAGGGAGCGTCCCCCAAACGTCTGTACATGATAGTGGATTTCTCCAATTGGAATAGGCTACGCTGAAGGTGTAAATCTTTGACTCTACAATGTAATACTGTAAACTATGGGAAACTGCCTGTTAACCTGGTAAGCTGCTGCAAAAACCATTTTTACGTTGCAATGTATATCAAAATGTATGGGATGTCAAAATGTCCTGCATATCGCTATGGTTTAAGCTGATCGATTTTGAAAAAGAAAAAAAAAACACTGAATGATTTATTATCTATTTACAGATCAGTTACAAAGGTGGTCATTTGGAGAGGTGTCTAAATGAGAAAATTAACTCTAAAATCACTCAAGTAATGAGGTTTTGAATATGATTGATGCAGAAGCCGGCAGAAATCGTTGTCACACTGCATTGAGAGGTGACCACAAAAGTCGGCTATCTGATGGCCCAGCTTCATACAGTAAACAAAATAAATTATGTATCTTGGACGGTGTTCCTACAAATTCCGAAATACACATAGTGTTGATTGGGTCAGCAGCGTTTCGTACCCAGTGAAACAACAGCCAACATGGAGGTGACAAAGAAGAGTTCAATTTACAATGAGGCCTTCTTTGCAGTGGAATATATTGTTGTTTTCTTTCTAATGACAGGTGAGTCAATTCTAATTAAATGGGCGGTTCATACATGTAGTAAGTGACTAAGTAGATACATGAATATATATATATTTTTGGGTATTCATATATTTCTCTTAGCTTCGTAAACCAATGTAAAGGAGGATGTTTTTACGTCAAATTAAATTATCGGTATAATAAATTCCCACAAGATGTCACCTGCCTAATTTTTCATTTATTTTCTCCACATAAATGTCCCGTCACACTTTTTCATACGAAATTATGAGAAAAAACAGCTCATACGTAGACAATCAAAAGTGTTCAATAGACGTACGTCTCGTACGTTTCTAGTTCGCAGGTAATCGTTGGTGTACCTTAGCGAATATATGCAGAGGGAGATAAAATATTTCTTGCGTGTTCAGAATATTTACAAACGCTAGGGTTACGCTAAGTGTATGGCAAATACGCTGTAGTTAAAGGTATGGCACAATGTCCCTCTCCGAATGCGCATACATACGGCATCAGTCGCTCCCGTGCGCTACTCATACACTCATATACGGTGCTGTTACAATAATCATACATTGACAAACGTTACCCTTACGACCACATATGCTGACAAATTATCAATGACGGAGATAATTGTGAGCATGAGAGAAATTAGAAATTGTTTTTCGTTAGTTTTAAAGCAACCATTTTATTTCACAAGTGGCTTGTTTTAAAATTGTTTTTATCGATTTTCTACTCCAGGATCCCAAGGGCAAATTTGTCCACCTTTTTCGAACCCCAGTGTGCTGACCGCTCCAGTGACCTTAGACCCCTGGCCTGGAAATGACACGTATTCTAACAACTTGGACTGTCACTGGCAAGTGAACGCCCCAAACGGAGAGGTATGGTCTTTAAATTCTAGTTACAAATACCATAGAATAAAATGGCTACCATACGGTTACTGTGCACGAATCACTAACAGTGGTAAATTGGACCTCTGTCGAGTTTACTATTATTTCTAGTTTCCTTCCTGCACGCATGTTTATTCAATTTTTATCTAGTCAGTTCCTATTCCTAGGTCCAGTTTATATTTTAAAATCATAATTATGTTGAGGAAGGTAGGTACCAAAGTTATTCCTTAAGGAGGTGATATTACAGTATTGCTCCGACAGAATACAGTATACTGGGAGACCTTCTGTAGGTGCGTCTCACGCTTCTTGTTGTCATATTTGTTCGATGTCCTGTAGTGCAGTTCAAATTACCATCCATTTATGGCAATATTAGAGAGCGAGACTGTTAGGCAATGTTCCGATTTCAGCTGCAGATGAAAAGCTTCATGATAAATTTTACATGACGGTCCTTAAGATATGGTGGACATCTATGAGGCCTCGTGGCCCTATCCCTGTCATGCCAGGTTAGAGTCTGTTTTAATATTGTACTTGATGCAGAAGGGATTAAAAGGACTGGCGGTGGATAGACATGGGGAGTTGGCAGGGGGAAAATATTTGTTTTGTCGATGTATTTACTTGATCTGCGAACTTATTATCAACTCTTACACATATGCATACTGCTATGCTTTACGTCTTTAATTTCAGGTTTTAGAGTACAAAATCGAATTTTTGGGCGTGGAAGATGACCCAAGCTGCAGATACGACTATCTTAGGCTAACGGATGTTTCTGGCGAATTCCACACATTTTGCGGAAATACACCAGCCACTGGTACCTTATACAGTCCAATTTACATCCATTTTCACAGCGATGATTCTGTTGTTGGATTTGGATTTACACTTGTAATTACGCCCGGTGAGTGCCCCCTCCCACTTCTTTCTCTTTCTCTCTGTACACTTTTCGTGAGTGTGATTCCTTCCATATTATAAACAGTGACTTTTGTTTTATATCGAGTCCCTGTGCAAATTACCCAGTTCAATTCAATCGCATATAAATAAATAAATAAATTAAATTAATACTGATGGAGTGAGACCTCGAACGTTAACGATGAAGCTTGTTCAGTAGTTTGTTTAGGAATTTTAAGGATTTTGGTTTTATTATCCATTGTAAGGCGCCTTCAGGTAGTATGTAAGGCGCGAAATAAGAAACTTAGTATAACATTATTATTATTAGTTAAATGTTTACTCAAAATTGAAAGTAAAGGACACACAAGCACATTTCAATCACTTAAAGTTTCCACTCACACACATATTTGAAGAAGCAAAAACGTTTTGAAATAAAGAGTTTGGTTTTCGCAATTTTAGTGACTACCGCATTATTATCCACAACACCGTCGACTATGTCTACAGTTGATTACATGATCCAAGATCTGCTTTATATATAGTGAGCAAAACATTACAGAATGACAGGTTTAAACTGCAGAAAGATGGCCAATAGATCTGTTTAAATATATGAACCAACGAACGAGTTTCCACAGCACGTATACTTGATGATATTTGCGGCATATATGCAAGATAAACCGCACGTTTCACTAATTACTCCGTAATTTTGTCTCCTGGGACCATCAAAAGTGTGTTTATAGCCATTTATATTGCCGTTGCACATAGGAGACCCCTTCAACGTGACGAGATTAGGGTTGTCACCAAACCAATGCAGTGGGCATTATATCCAGTTCTCACGTGATGATACGAACGATATTCTAATCTATGCTGGAAAATGTCTACTCTGGGTAAATTTGGTTTGTGTAAACGGGCCCGTTTTTAAATTTTAACGTTCGTTTAAGTTTCTAGTTGTATTATTTTACCTTCATGGCATTCTTGTGAGGAGGCGAAACTAAAAAACAATATATTTGTTTGTAGGACGTTAGATCAAATTCATTTTTTTAAATAATGATAAAATATGTAACATATACTTGTTTGGTATAATTGCACATCAATGAAATATATTTTAAAATATTATCTTATTTCCATTCAATGACTGGAAAATAAATGATCGGATTTTTCTTCCACTTGGTACTAGGCTTTGCAACCATATTTGGAATACAATTAAGATAAAATATTTCGATAATCGTTAATACTACGCAATACAAATGTGATTTTTTGTCGCAACAAGGGGAATGTCAATGCAAGCAGCTTGATCATGTTATTATCAATCAATATGTATACCTTCAGCGCATTCCATAAACACGCATGGAGACATGGAAATTACAAAATTGACTTTTACATGTTTCAGTATTGTACATAAACGGTTAGTAAAAATAGGAAAACAAATTTCCTCTCCTATATTCCTGTGACAACAATAACTCGTTCATATACATGCACATGAAGAGATCAGTTGTTTTGTGATCAATAGTTCTAGTGTATTTAATGAGATTTTTTCCAAGAGCTATTAAGCGCTACACAGTATTTACACAGTATTTTCTATTTGTGCGCAAGAAATATATGAAGAAGTGGTATAGTGAGAAAGACCATTTCATATGTAATAACATGTCTGCCTACTAATATATACACTTGCTTTTGTTAGTTTCTCACTAAAATTTCGCTTCGCGGGTACGCTGAAAAGTCGCCTTTTGCATTTTCGCCGAAAACTCAATTGTAAATCTAGGTCCTGGTGTTTTTCAAATATTGCACACGTGACATCTGGTCGCTCAAACTGCATAACTTTGTATTGTGAGTTGCATGCAACTTCGGTAGCAAAATTCTCATTTTGGAATCGGAGAAAATTTACCGTCACGAGATCGTGCTTTTAGCAGGGAATAACATTACATGGTTCAGTTTGCACGGTTAGAAATTACGTGGACGGTGGTAGTCTGGCGTCCTTTCCTGAAAGACAAATTGGTGATATGAATAATAATTTCCATACAATATATCAAAACAAAAATTGAAAATAATATTGAAGAGAGAAATAATGTGTCCAATTACAAAATGATAAATTAAACATCGCCAAAACCAAGAAATGAAACTACTTCAACTTTTGTTTAGTTTTGATGTTATATTTACCACGCCCCACAGAATGAAATACAAGATTTTAATGATTTTACTCTGAATGCAAATCGATGGGAAAGAAAAATAAATAAATGAATAAAGGTGTTTATGGACTGACACCTTGGTGTGAAATGCAGAGGGATCGAAAATCAAAACATCTGATATGGCAATAAATTTATTAACATACCATTTGATGACCAAAACCACTCCCAGTGTTACAATGACTACAACAGCTATGACTCCTGCTGTAACCCCGCCAGCAGTAGCCGCCAACTTTCTTGCCTCTTCTTCTTTAACCTTTTGTCTGGATTGGCTGGCAGTTTCCTCAGTGCTGCTCTTGGTAGTGGCAATGGAAATGACATTGCTCGGCTTTATAGACAGACTTGTTGCTGATTGCCCTGATAGGAACTGCACTGAACTGAAGGATGGTTGAATCGTTTCGGATGATACTGGGGCTGAATTAGGTTGTGTCGTCTGAAATGAGCCGGAAGCGCCAGTAGCTAAAGATAGTTGCCCACTCCGGATTGAGATAAAGCTTGAGGGGATGACGTTTGGTGGTGCTGTAGACTGCTGTTCAGTTTGTGAAGGAGTGAATGTGCTTGACTCCGTTGGTATAGCCGTCTCAGAACCCGTGGCCAGGTTTGGAAGTGAAACATGTGTTGATACCAAAAAGGCAGTTCGTTGAACATCTTGGATCATGTAATCAACTGTAGACATAGTCGACGGTGATGTGGACAATAATGCGGTAGTCACTAAAATTGCGAAAACCAAACTCTTTATTTCAAAACGTTTTTGCTTCTTCAGATGTGTGTGTGTGAGTGAAAACTTTAAGTGATTGAAATGTGCTTGTGTGTCCTTTACTTTCAATTTTAAGTGAACATTTAACTAATAATAATAATAATAATGTAATACTAAGTTTCTTATTTCGCGCCTTACATACTACCTGAAGGCGCCTTACAATGGATAATATAACCAAAATCTTTTAAAGTCCTAAACAAACTACTGAACAGGCTTCATCGTTAACGTTCACGGTCTCACTCCATCAATATTCATTAAATTAATTAATTAATTAATTTATTTATATGCAATTGAATTTAACTGGGTAATTTGCACAGGGACTCAATATAAAATTAAAAGTCACTGTTTATAACATGGAAGGAATCACACTCACGAAAAGTGTACTGAGAGAAAGAGAGAGAAGTGGAAGGGGGCACTCACCAGGCGTAATTACAAGTGTAAATCCATAAAAAGCAACAGAATCATCGCTGTGAAAATGGATGTAAATTGGACTGTATAAGGTACCAACGGTTCGTGTAAATCCGCAAAATGTTTGGAAATCGCCAGAACCATCCGTTAACCTAAGATAGTCGTATGTGCAGTTTGGGCTATCTTCCACGCTCAAAGACTCGACTTTGTACTCCAAAACCTGAAATTAAAGACGTTAAGCATAGCAGAATGTGTGAGAGTTGATAACAAGTTCGCAGATCAAGTAAATACATCGACAAAACAAATATTATTCCCCCTGCCAACTCCCCATGTCTGTCCACCGCCAGTCCTTTTTAAACCCTTCTACATCAAGTACAATATTTAAACAGACCCTAACCTGGCATGACATGGATAGGGCAACGAGGCCCTCTGTATAAAATCATCGCTTTCAAGAAATAATCGAGTAGCCAATACGCTAACACCGCAATGTTTTTTGCCTGTAAACTTTTTTGCTGAAGCGTATTTTTCTGGCCGAGAGAAGCAAAGTTAGCTTGGTTGATATTCCCATGACATTGAACATATTTCAATATGGCCGTCAATTAATGAGAAAAAATAGAAAAAAGACCATAAGTCGCAAGATATTCTTTATTTACAGCTTCTTTAAACGTTTACCCTATCAGAAAAGAACAACAGAACTAGCAAATACACTATTTAAAGCGCTTAACTTTTTTTAAATTAAAAAAGCTGCAAAATTAGTTTAGTTTTTGTGCATATTTAGTCTTATTTAAGGCATACCCTCATTTAATTTTAATGCTCTTTATGATATTTTGTTATCTATGATCCTAAGCTCTCAGATACTCTCGAGGGAGTTCTTTTTGTCACACCCACGAGCGTCATATTTGAAGCCTTCTATGTTACTTTTTAAAAAGAAATTATATCATTTGGACACCAAAACTGAGAAAAGCCGATTAAGCTTGACTTTCCATGACAGTCGATACGTACTGGACTTATAATTTTTCAGAATTCAAGATGACCGTCAATTTGTTACATGAATAGCAAGAGCCCAACTTTTAAAAATATGTTTTCTCTAGTCCGTCGTTCATCATTGCATGTTTATGTGCTAGTATACATCCATGCTAACTGTGATCGTTTATTACCTTTCTGCAAGTCATTTTAATAAAAAAAGCCTCCAAAACATAATGTTTTAATGACTGTCAGCACATAACCAAAAGATGTGTAATATGTTTTGTTTATTGACTCTATGTAATTTAAAGTGAAAAAGTGCAGTGATAACACAAATTCGTAGTGCTGTAATATACAGCTGATGTGATTTGGAACAAGAGTTTTTCTGAAACGTGCTAATTTCAATAAAAGAAAGGGATTTAAAGCTAAAATTTATTTACATACTGAACATAGCTATTATAAAGATGTAAAATAAGGTTAATATTCTGATAATAGTTAAATATATTTATTATTAATTTACCCCCCCCTCCCCGACGAATTTGGTTGGACTCACGGTAAATGACGTTAATTTCAGATTAACATTTTGGATTCCTTGCACTCCAAATCCTGCAGAAACCCCCGTTGACCTTTGAAAAAATTCCCTTCAGACTGAACCTCTATAAGAAAAAAACGTTACCGTCAATCATGTCAACGGCACTCTTCTATGGAATCTTAGTAAAACTGTACCTTACTAGTACAACTTGCCATGAAATAAAGAGATGAGATTATCATGCCAAACGTAATTTTACTTCCTTTTTTCCTTTCCAATGTGTTTTAGCGGTTATGTAAAATGCAGAATACCATGCACTTTGAACATGACTCTTTGCTATTTCACATAATTATTTATTTTTAATATAAAGATATTACAATGGAATTTTCTGTTATTGGCGGCCATCTTGAATTTTGAAAATTAATCAATGTCCCAGAAGTAGCAAATGACAAGAAAGGCCAAATTAAATTGGCCTTTGTAGCCCCAAAGAATTCAATTCTTAAAAAAATTACAAGGAATAAGATAATACCTATTCGACTATTGGACCTATGGGAGTGGTATAAACAGACTCTTGGGGGCTGATATCCTCAACCACTCCTTAGTGGAATGTCAGATAAACTTTTTCTGAGCATATTGGGTCATGACAAACAAAATATGATAATGAACATTGTAGCACACTGAATATTTTGGTATTTTTACAAAGCAATAAGATCTGCTGAAGTCTACCTGGACACCTGAAGTAAGCAACTCTAACACAAGTGAACAATAACTAACCACTGCACTACCTGTGCAGCTCTTTATTATAGTACCAGATATGCAAATGATCCAATGCTACAAGTCCAATAAATATGATTGGCTAGTTTACCACTGCATAACCACTGCAATGCAACACTTTACCATAATTGTTTGAGATGTTATCACATAGCCATTATGTAAGTTCTACAACATAAATATTAAAAGCGGATATGCTTTTAATTTGACTAAATATGCAAAAATCAGACTAATTCTGCACCCTTTTTACCTTCTGCCATATGTTTTGACGGCAATTTTGATTTTTTTGCTAAAAGTTACTCGCTTCAGTGCACTAGTCCTGGCCCCGTATCTCGAAAGCCTCGCTGTTGCGCACGGGCGCGAACATGGCGATTCCGCGCTATTTGAGAGTGCGATTGCACCCACCTGCTATCTCGAAGCCTTAGCAAACGCAACGCAATTATAACCTCAAACTCTACTAAAATTCGATTGCCGCATAAAGTGAAGACATCGTAACACAATATCACAAAATGTAATTTTTTTTCACCATGACGCTAATCAAAAGGTTGTTTTTGTTTATAGGAATATCATAATTACAAATACTGATATTTGAAGTGTTTGACACCAATAAAATGTCAAAAATAAATAAATAAATAAATAAATGAGCGAAGCTTGGACTGACACAATTACTGACGCATTGGTAAGAAGTGTTCTTTCTCACATAGACATTGAGGAAGGTCACGGTGCGATCGAATGCTTTGTTTCTTCTTTTTCATTTTGTGTAGAAAATTTATGATTATTATCAATATACTATACAGATGAATTATATTAATCAGAAAACATAAAATGATTCATGAAATGTTTAATTTTGAAATTTTTATGCATAATAAAACATGACTTAAGCATTCTTCACGTGAATGTTTACCGCAATTTTTTCTATCAGAGGTACCGAGTGATTCAATCTTTTATAAGCTTCCATGATTTTGTTATATGCTATTATGACTAGCAACTCAAACTTGCCGCCATGTTTAATTGCATGAAAGACACATAAAAAAGACGAATTATGCATACGCAGAGGCCTTTGCGACTAGTTTGTATCTCCGCAAATAACAGCCTCGAAACTAATGGTGATTTCGTCATTAGCGCAGATCCGCGATTTGCGAAGCTTTTGAGATATGGGAAAGCGCACGCTCGCCATGCCTGAGCACGCTCGCCATAAGCGAAGCTCTCGAGGTTCGGGGCCCTGTTGTGCTCTCCTGATAGGATAAACATTCAAAGAAGCTTTAAATAAAGTGTATCTAGTGACGTCTGGTGGTTTTTCCATCTTTCTCATACATTGACGGCCATATTGAAAAATACTCGATGTCTCAGAAATAACAACCAAGCTAATTTTGCTTCTCTCGGCCTTAAGAATGCGTTTCAGCAATAAAAAGTTTCCAGGAAAGAACACTTCAGGATTCGACTATTGGGCCTATGGGAAAGGCGACTCGACTGAAATGACTTTGATACCTAGTTACACTTGCTCATCCCAGTGCCACTTGCAGAAACAAACAAACACATGAAAAAGGCATAAAACATAACTACCATTATCGATTGATACACAAGAACCAAATGGTACCTATTTTTCTTTCCCATTTATAACCATAAAGACCATACCTCTCCGTTCGGGGCGTTCACTTGCCAGTGACAGTCCAAGTCGTGAGAATACAAGCCATATCCATGCCAAGGGTCTATGATCACCGGAGCGGTCAGCACAGTGGGGTTCGAAGCTGGTGGACAGACTTGTCCATGGCATTCTAGAGCAGAGAATCGATAAAAGCATTTACACACCAAATGCAGTTTATTCAATATAATTTATTTTTCAGTTCATATATGATAACAGTGTTTTCATGGGTTTCTTTTCATCTAAGCTTTGGATGTACCTTACCGGTATGTTACGTATACTTACCGCATAGCCATTAAAAAACGGTCACTTTAATAGTTTACGCTGTCTACATTTTATGTGCAAGCGCACAAGCCGCCGACAGTGATAATGGTGGGAAGGGGGGGGGGTACGATGGGCTGCAAAGGTCGCTGACTGTCGCCGCTGTTAAACCGGTAATTCAGTATTTTTAAATATAAGTTAAAACTTGACTTGTTTTGGTTTGTATCAAGCGTCCATCTGTCATGCCGGCTGAAGAAAGCGACAACAATACAAATGAGCCGCCGTTGTATATTCACTGTTTATGTGCAAAATCCACGGACGGGATATCTTATAAATGACACATTGTTTACCTTCAAAGTACTGCATACGAACACAAACAAATGGAATTACACGTAAAATTACCGATAGTGGTTAAACTGTTCAAAATCATACTTCAACCAGAATATCGATATAAGAACATTAGAAAAATATCGTTCATGAAGGAAAAAGTCATTTGAATTTCTAAAAATTCGAAAAACACATAGCTCTGATAGCTAAAAAATCATCAAAAATGCCTAAATTCAATTTCGTTTTTGCATTATGAAGTTTTATATCTTGTATTTGTCAGTTTATGCAATATACCTGTGCGGGTCTGTTTTAATTCATGGGAACGGATATACAATGTATAGCTACCATCAATTCAATTGCATATGGCTGCCTGAAGGCAATTAAAAGAAACCCTTGAACAAGCAACTTTTACACCATAAACACCGGCCGGTGAAGATACAGGTAACAGGCAAAAATTGAAAATAAAAATTATTCAGGTAACACCTAGCATGATTTCAATATAAGTGACACACACTGGTGGTTTGACTTGTTTTTTAAAACCTTGTCCTATGGTTTATTATACATACTTATATTAGAAACTTAACCCATACATAAACAGACGGGATAATAGTACTCACATCTAACTTTAATTGAAACACAAATGTTAATTATAATACACCTACCTGTCATAAGAAAGAAAACGACTACATATTGCACTGCAAATAATGCCTTGCTGCAAATAAAGCTTCTCCTTGCCATGCTTGCTTGTTGTTACACTGGGTTTGAAACTATGCTGCCAAATCAACACTATATATAATTTTTCGTGTTTGTAGAAACATGATATAAACGCTATAATTCAAAGACCTACAGAGGTTGTTGCATGGCATATTCATCATTTATAGTTGTTTCTCCATACAGACAGCAGTGATCGCAAAACAGTGATGACTATTTCTATTGGCCTGGTTACAAATTACATTAAAAACACATTAGTGATTTTCCTATTCAGTTATACCGTCCAATTATTATTTATCGGCGTTTTCCTTTACTCAATTAAAAACATAGCAACAGCGAGCTTGTTTTGACATCCCTTGCATTCTGATTTATTTTGCATCGTAAGATATCAATTGATTGTTTTTCGTCATTTTTGTCTTTGTTTATTTGTTTGTTAATCATTGCTTGATATAGAAAAATACAACCGGAAATTTACCCACCTTTTTTTTTACAACATATGTGCATTGTATACATACATTTGCATGGTTTTGAATGTACAACTGTAATAATCAATTTTCTCACACTTCGGTGCTTTACCCTATTAAAAGCGTGACAGTCTTTTTGCACGAAGAAATGGGTGAACAATAAGGCAGCTAGGTAATACCGTGCAGGAATTTAATAAGCGAGGTTATTTACTTAGATGTTATAACCAACTATCTGGCCTTGGTTTACGAAGCGGAAAGAAATATACGTACAGCCAAAAAAGAATTTTTATAAATTAATATTAACCAAGAATTTTAATTGATACAGTCTTACTTGACGTTATAAATAAAAAGACTATCAGTCCAGTAAACGAACGAAGTTTCCGCATTAAAGTTGAAAAAAAAAAAAAAAAACGTTAACAAAGGTTTCACAACTCATCTGATCCACTTTTGGGCCAATATAACCCAGATAATTTCCCACCGTAATCAACCCATTGCAAAGTGCCAGAAATCCAAAATGGCCGCTAATGTATAGGGGAGTGTGCTTGGTGGGCATAGCATGGAAACTGGCTAATTTAGGAACTAGTGAAGGTATCACTAATGTTAAAGGGCACGGCCATTCATTTGAAAAATGTTTGGAAGTCATCAGAGGTCAAGGTCAAGCCTTAATGCCAAAGTCAATATGACCAAAAATGACCAAAATAGCTTAAAATATAGCAGCAACTTTTTTTTCAAAAATGATTTTCTTAGCCTGATTAAGAACTGCACACAAGAGGCCACCAAGGGTAAATGATGTAGGTCCAAAATGTCATTACTTAGGTGAATTTGGAGGTAATTAGGATTCCCCATAGGGGAATACTATTGTTTTTGCTGTTCTTATTAGGATTCCATATAGGGGAATACTATTGTTTTTGGTGTTCTTCTTATTCTTCTTCTTCTTCTTTTTCGTCAAAAATTTCTTTCTAAAATTCTGAATAAATTCATACTGATAGCCTATGAAAAGGTATTCCGGTCCACCCAATTTTTTTGACCTTGACCTAATTTTCAAGGTCACAGAGCCTTTTAAAGTGAAATTTTTGCAAATTTCAAAATGCAAAATGTCCTAGAATTTTCAACATTTTGACAAATCCTTTCAAAGGTGATGTCACACTATAATTCTATATCAAGTGACCTTATTTTAGGAAAGTAGGTCAGGTCAAGGTCAACCTATTGCGAAATATGCTCCAGGAGGTTGACACTCGGCAGGGGGTAAACCAGATGTCACAGAGCCACAAGGATGATGTAAGAAGTTGCCTTAGATATCTATCCAGTGCAGTATCTAATAATATTGACAATTGACTGATTAGATTTTTAATATAGATTTTTAAATATTAATAATTTCACAGAAATAGTGACTTTGTCAATTTCTCCATGAAATCCTGATTTTTTTGTGATAACATGCTATAGTAAACTACCCCAAACATATACCCAACACTTCCAAATCAAATGTCAAATTTGACCTTAACCCTCATTTTCAAGGTCATTCGGCTATTTCATGGAGAAATATTGAAGTGGGCTAAAAGTGATGTTTTGTTGACCCCCCACCCCCAATTCGCACATGCCCTTTCAGAATATGGGGTCAAATTTAACCCATGACCTTCACATGACCTTGTAAGAGCATTTCCACCCCTATTTTGCAGGGGAATCCTCCGCCACTGGCTTTAGCCAGTTGCAGTCTAGTTATTCTTCTTCTTCTTCTTATTATTATTTTTCGTCAAAAAATTTCTTTCTAAAATTCTGAATAAATTCATACTGATAGCCTATGAAAAGTTATTCCGGTCCACCCATTTTGTTTACCTTGACCTAATTTTCAAGGTCACAGAGCCTTTTTAAGTGAAATTTTTGCAAATTTCAAAATGCAATATCTCCTAGAATTTTCAACATTTTGACAAATCCTTTCATAAGTCAGATAACACAATAATTCTATATCAAGTGACCTAATTTTAGGAAAGTACGTCAGGTCAAGGTCAACCTATTGCAAAATGTGCTCCAGGAGGTTGACACTCGGCAGGGGGTAAACCAGATGTCACAGAGCCACAAGGATGATGTAAAAAGTTGCCTTAGCATATCTATCCAGTGCAGTATCTAATAATATTGACAATTGACTGATTAGTTTTTTAATATAGATTTTAAAATATTAATAATTTCACAGAAATAGTGACTTTGTCAATTTCTCCATGAAATCCTGATTTTTTGTGATAACATGCTATAGTAAACTACCCCAAACATCTACCCAGCACCTCCAAATCAAATGTCAAATTTGACCTTGACCCTCATTTTCAAGGTCATTCGGCTATTTCATGGAGAAAAATTGAAGTGGGCTAAAAGTGATGTTTTGTTGACCCCCCCACCCCCAATTCGCACATGCCCTTTCAGAATATGGGATCATATTTAACCCATGACCTTCACATGACCTTGTAAGAGCATTTCCACACCTATTTTGCAGGGGAATCCTCCGCCACTGGCTTTAGCCAATCGCAGTCTAGTTTTCTTATTCAGACACGTTTTCAAATGGTCACTATAGGCTAATCATAAATTATTCATCTTTTTTTGCCTGAACTCGAACAGCTGAAACCATAGCGACATCTGTTGCTGTTTGAAACCAAATGCGTATATATATATATATATATATATATATATATAAATATATATATATATATATATATATATACTGCAACGTAAACATCAGTTGATTGTTATTATCTGCTTACATGCATGAATTTTTGTTTACTGTTGTTTGTTACAGCTAACCAGGTTAACAATCGGTTTCTCATTGTTTACAGTATTAAAGTCAATGGTTTAGCAATACCTTCAGCAAAGTTGTTTAAGATGGAGAAATCCACTTTGATTCAAGAAACTGGATACATCATATCAACACTCAAAATACTGACATCCAAATTTAATTAAACACCTGTTTTCATTAAAAATATATACTTGTTATTTAAAAGAAAACCACTAGATATTGCACTGGAAAGAAGGCCTTACTGCAAATTAAACACCTCTCTGCCACACCCAAGCGTTGCGTACTTTGGACGAACAGGTTTAGTAACTATATGCAGAGAGAGAATCGGGAGAGAGGGAGTCTCATTAGCAAGCAATAAAAAGATAACACTTAAATCTGCAGGTAACACGTACTTCCACAATATTAACTAAGCAGCAATATCTACTGTTTAAAAACTAAAAACATTGGTCGTTTTCAGTTGACCAAAATTGCCTTTCCTCCACCTGGACCAAGGATTGATTTTTCACTTGAT